AAAATATTTACTTATTTAAAAATAGTCCTTATTAATCTATAACTATGATAATACAACTGTTTGTAGATCATATTTCTTTTAACTTATCTGTACCTTACATCTTATCTACTGATAGACAATCGCTCATATGTACACGTTATTAACGTCGTGTACATAACAGTACAGATAAGTATATCTACTAGTTATGAACTAATAGATAAAATTATAAGGTTACCATCAAATTGAACATTTATAATATATATAAACATAGTAACATCTATTGTCTTTATATGTCTGAATTATATTATATCTATACATTTTTTGCAAAATACGTATTTACACATTTATAACAATTTATATTGATTTATTTAAAATATTTCATTATTTACAATCCTACCTAAGTAAGATTTATTTAATTAAAAAAAGAACATAATTTATTCCAAAATAAAAACAATAAAATTTCGTGTATTTTTTTTTTTTACGATATCAATTTCACTTGATACTTTTTCATAGCTTGATATTCAATTCTATTATAATTATAATATGAAAAAAACATAATATTAAATATACAATGTTCCTGATGAAAACCCTGTTAAAAAATGTTTCTTTATCAATGCATATATAATACGATTTTTTCAAGAAGCCTTAGTATTTATTTTTCCCAATAATGGAATAGTTGAAATAAGTTTACTACTCTGTAATAAATTATATGAACCATATGTACAATATTTATATGATACAAATGGTATATAAAATGCTCTAAAGAAAGGATGTGATCTGTAAGGAGAGATAAGGATAGATAAAATATATTAATTGATATAAAACAGTTATATAATAAATGTTATGCGTAAATGTACTTACTTAGATGCATCTAGAAATTTAGAAGATTTTAATACAATGAATTGATCAGGCATTTTAGAGTAATTTGGTTCTAAATCTGTATTTGTACCGATATCAAGATCTAATAAAAAATGGCACTTCTCCACTGGTATCTAAAGATAATATGTATTTAAATATTTCTATATATATTTGAGAACAAACAAAAATGCAATGTACAATTTAAGAAAAAATAAATAAAAACTTACATAGCGAGACGGTTCTTCTTTATTTAAATCATTGAAGTGAGGTTGAATGATACTTGTTGCATTTTCATGATCTGAATAAGGCTGAGGTAATTCTCCTTTAAATTCTGATTTTAGGTACTGAAGTTTCCAACTAAGAAAAGATATTTTATTATAATAAAACTAAATACTTATGTTATATTTTTATATAACTTACTTATTTGATAAGTAATTATATTACTTACTTATTTGATGGGAAAAAGAAACTATTAGGAAAGCGATGCCATTCTTTACCAACGCAAAAATTAATATTGCCATCACTCAATATTCCTCCTTCCGATCCAAGTTTATTTGTTTCAATCATAATTTCCATTGGAGCATAATATCCTATAATACAACATAACATAATATTATTAATTGATTATATTTCATGTACTTTAATATTTTAATTTTCTTTTGATACCTTTATACAAAGCAAGAGTTCTAGAGAAACCAAAAAGACCACAGACAATAATGGCTACAGTCATGATATGGGTAGTGTATTGAGAATAGTGGCATCCAATATGTAATGGACAAAATTTTGTTCTGATAAAAAAATATAACTTTTGCAAAACATCAACTGATATTGCACCAGTTAAGCAAATCATTGGATATACAGGAAATAAAAATCTTTCTTCCTGTAAAGATAATGTCATAAATTTCATTATTATTGTCACATTATAAAGTGCATACTGAATTAAAATAATCCAAATTTATTTATATAAATTGTTATACCTTGTGAGATTGTAGAAAAAATACTACGAACCAAAGATACAATGGAGCCAATGAATACCAGTAAGGTAAGCATAATCGTTCTCTTGGTTTAGCTGGTATCACAAGCCAAACTAAAAACTATTAGAATTATTAATATACTGTGTATAAAATGAAATACTTCATCTACTATATATTTTTTTGAACCTTACTAATCCAAATGGAGCAATTAATGCACCAATAAAGATGAAGTTAAAATTTAAAAATCCATTGGCGATGTAATAGCTAAATGGTTCTGTGCCATAAATATCAGGTCCATGAGAAGTGAAAACATTATACATTATGATATTTAATGGTGCAAGGACAAATCTGCCATAGTATATTGAATCGATCCAAATCATTGGTGCTAGTATTACAAAAGCAGAAATAAACACCCATTTCATAAATTTGCTCCATTCTTGTCTATGGAATAACATTTCTATGGCAATTGGTAATCTACATATCATAATATTAAATAATTTCATTACAATCCAAAAATATATTTAATGTATAAAATATTTTATTTATATATTATAAAAAATAAATCACAAATACCCAAGTAATGATGCAAACGGCCATCCTAATAAGGAAGATATAGCCGTGGCAAAAATAGCAAATTCATATTGTCGACCATACCAAGCTGCTATAGCAACTGTACTTAAGTACCTATAACACCATTATGATTTACTTTAAAAAATACTTTTAATTTGAAGAACATTACTTTGTACTTACATTGAAAAGGATGATGGTAAGAAAGCAGAGCTGGAGATATACATGCCTGAACTAAGAATAAGAAATACGAGTGTAAGCCTTGCAATATGAACTCCAAATTCACGGCATACATTTCTGAAAATATAAATATATACTGCATTAAAGAAATAATTATTATGTTTTATATTATAAGATATACATACTTATAAAAATATACTTCTGATAAAGCACAACCCACAGATAAAAGACATCGTATGAAGTAAAATATTAAAACTGGATTTGGTTCTAATAAATAATGATAAAGCTTTGCTGGTACCATATGTATTAATAGATAAGTATATGATCTCAATGCATATTCAGGACTATATTCCCATGTTTGTTGACCGATACCATAAAGCAAGTAATGACTCTAAAACATAATAAAAATACTCTATTTTACTATTGCATACTTATAGTATTATATAGTAAACATTAATCATAATTAAAAGTTATCTAATCACTTAAGAAATAATAAAGATTTATTTATACATTTAAATACATACTGGCTCCCAATAATTATAAGTTTCATCACAGTCTGTTATATGACACCATATAGCTGAACAAAATCTTGCAGATAAAATTAATTTAAATGCTGTATCTACGCCTGGATATACAAGTCCAATGTCTGATTCTTCTGATCTATAAAATAAAAATATATTTCTGTCATACTTTTATATTAATTTTAACAAAGATATTTTTATGTTTATTAGTTACTTATTAAGTAATAACAAAAGTTTAATTTATTAATTATGTACTTGAAACTCGAAAGTACAGTTAACAGTGAAAAAGAAAATTTATTATTGTAACAATGATAAATAAGGTTAACCGGCTTCAAATTTTTGAAATATGAAAAAAACGTTCTTTAATAAATATCTTTACTGATTGTAAATAAATTAATGAAGTGTTACAACTACTCACTTTGAAAATCTTCTGCCATTGATCTTTCTTAAATCCTTTTTTGAATAAAATAGTTGACGTTGACGTTGATTAGGCGCCATTGTTATACACACTATATAGTAATTTATTTACGATTATCCATATCAGTATATGTTTGTATGGTCTTACCACCCATATGAAAATGGAAGTACCAGTTTAATCCACATAATAGGTCATGTCGCTGCTATTCGCATTTTCTAATGATCAAATTTTATGATTAGTTAGGTATATATTTTATAATGAAATATAGATAACGGATTAAATAATAATTATTCTAACATTTTTTTTATTATCATTCTATGATCTCTGAAATGATAATATTTTTTTTATTTAAAATAGACAAAAGTTTTGCTGATGAAAACATTTCTTTTCTATCTCTCATTTTCGATATAACAATATTCCATTTAAATACTTCAATACGTAGAATCTTATATATTTGGTGTTAAATAATGATACATCGATATTACAGTCATAATAAGATTCTCCTAACATCTACATTATAATAATAGAACACCTTTTTTGGAGCATCATTGAATAAATTTGTACGTATTTAAAGAATATTCAATACACAACTGATTTTCTAATTATTATATATATATATATATACACAAATATATATATATATATATATATATAATTCATATAATAGATTACAATACAATTACTTGTAGTCGTGAATAAATAAGTTCGTGATATAACTATAAAATTCTCGATGCTTATATAATACAGATATAAATAACTTCTTAATGTTCCATATAAAATTTATCTTCTATGTATTACGCACAAAGTTATCTGCCATCATGTAATATCGCATAGTTCCTTTTAAAGAATCATACTTCTTCAAGTTTTATAGTATGACAATGTAAATTAAATACCTTCAGCTGCTTAAGAAAATACTAAATGCAAACAATTCGTAATAATTGATTGCAATAGAAACATTGTCAATAGATACAAAATATATTAGCTAGAGAATAAAGTAAAAAGTGGAAATATAAAATCTTTGTAATTAGTACATTAATGCGTATAATTATTAATAATTATAATATTAAAATTAATCAATTTAATTAAAGCTATAGAACATTTCTATTAATTATTAGATTAAATAAATAAATTTAACACTTTTACAAAAGAAGACAATTAAGAAAAATGATAAAAGATTTTAGAGACTTATAAATGCATTTGGAATGATGAAGTATAAATGCCTATTATAGACATAAGGTAAATTAAACATTCTGAAATTAAACTTAGAATAAAATACGTAAATGGATAAATAAAAAACGCTAAATACGTTTACTCGACAATAGGAAATTACGTTAAAAGCGAAAAGTAATAATTCTTAGTTAATAAATGTTCATATAGAACACTGAGTATATCATTAACAATAAAATTTATTATTCATGAAATTTTTAGACATTTTCTATACTATTTATATTAACAGAAGCTTATATGTAAAATTTTATAGGATATATATTATTAACCAATGTACAAATCTGTTATTAATATATAAAGATAAAACCTAGTTAATGAGAAAATATATTATTTATTTGATATAGTTTAATGAATAAAATTTCTGATCATATCTCTTCGCTTTTAACGTTGTGTTACGATCATTTGTACACTACACATAATATATAAAAATTTCTCTAAGTTATCTGTAACAGAAAGCAATATTATAAAACATAACATACATGAAAACGAGAATACAGTTAAAGATTAATAGACACTCTGAGAATGTATGTAAATAGTTAGAAGCACTATTTGCAGATAATGATATGATATGGATAGTCCTATACATAGAAGCAGTCTTACGATTTTAGAACATCATTGGTCACATAACATAATTTATCATATTCATAGTTTTAAAATACGTGCGAATTCTGAAAATATATAATACACATGGATCTTTGATTTATATAAATCCATTAAAAAAAAAAAAAAAAAAGAAAAAGAAAAAGAAAAATTAAATGAAACACTATCTTCATTTTTGGAGGGAATATAGTTTTAAAATTTGTAATTAATTCGCTGTCATGTCGAAAATTCCATTCTTAGATAATTATATAACTAAATTTGTACTTAGATCTAATATGCACTAAAAATAATTTCCGAAATATTAGTATAATTTTCAGTGCTTTATAAGTTTCGCAAATATTTATATTCTTGGCTTGTACGTTAATGTAACGTGGAAACTTTGTACATCCATTTCAGTGCAATCTTGTGGTCCAATGGGAACATCGCTAGTATGTACCTCTATACGTTCCTCATTTCCGAGTTCTTTGATTACATCTCGACTACTTTTCAACATTTTTTCCACTGGTTGATCTATTGCAACTCTGACAGTTTTAGTTTTAATAGTTTCCATTGATCGTGACTTACATGCATCAATAGAACGTCCTTTAGCCCCGTTTTCTTTATTTCTACGAGTTGAACTACGATGAATACGTGTTTTATCTCTTGAAGATGTTCTTCGTAAACTTGGACGTTTGACTGATTCAGCACTAGCACTTAAACCTCCTGCTAAAGTTCATATGTATTATAAATTTATTAATATTCTATAAAATATCAAAAAAAGTAAAATAATGTATCATCATTATTCTATAAAGCATACCAATATTCCCAGATGATGACCTATTTGAACCACGAAGCACATGCATTGCTGTAGGATCACTATCAGTAGCAGCTAATATTTCTCCCACAGGTGTCAAAAACCATTCTGATCTCGTACGCATACGTGCTGTTTGTCTTTCATGTACCTGATAATAAGGATTATATGAAAAAGTTTAAAAGTATTTTGAAACATATAAAAAGACAAATAAATAATGCATTATATTTAACCTGTGGTAGATAACTAAGACTTTTAGTACTTTCTGCATAACGATTGATTGCTCGAAGTTCGTCTAGTGTTATTCCTGCATGTCGAGAATGATGACTACCATTACTTGATGATCGACTGGATGCCTATACAAAAGGATAAATCTTTCAAATCTATTCTAAATAATATTTTTAGTTATTTCCAATAAGTTATACGCTTAATGCAAAATCGTAAATAATCAAAGATCATACCTGAAACAGACCATTTTCTTCCAAGCTTACTGATAAACGTGTATAGCTTTCTAACAATGTATTTTCAGGAATTATTCCTAATGAAGATGTAAGATCAAGAGTTTGTGGTACATGAATTAAGGCTGGTGTCGACTGCGATTCTTCCTGATGTGACATAGCTGAACAAATTATATAATTAGGATGTTTTTATAATATAAAAACGTTTTAAAGAATAAATTCAACTTCCATATTTTAATTTTTTTGCTTACAGAAAAATTCTTTAAATTAATTGTTTCGCTTATATATATTTAAAGGCAATTTTTACTTACATTCTAGATTAAATTTTAGTCCCCACCTTTCACATTCATATTGCAGCCAAGTCTTTTCAGCTTCAAGAGAGAGTTGTCCTGAAATATATCCAACTGTAAGAGTCCAGTGTGCACTAGTTATGAAATAATACATAAGTTAAAGAAAAGTACTTTTAAGTAATCAACTTACTATATCAATTTAATGCATATATGTTTGTCAATACATGTTCCAGTTAGTGATAATTTTAAAACTTACTAGATACTAAAGTATCCGGAGGATATCGAAAACTGAAAATCCAATCCTCTTCTACTTTCAATATTCTTCCAGTAATACGCGCATAAAATTCGTAATTCTCTCTTCCAAATAAATTAGAAACTCCAAAATTATCTATCATAAATTTCATTACACAGGTGGCAACCTAAGAATATATAATATAAGCTACTAAACAATTTTTTTTACTATACTTACAATAAACATCTTTCATGCTATATATATTCTTTTAGTATATTATTATTATTGCAAATGCATATGCATATTTGCATGTAATATAATACAATAAAAAAAAAAGAACATTCATTTTGTAATATTATATAAAAATCTACAATGAAAAAATAAGATATGTAATAGAAACGTTATTAATTATGTACTTTACTTTCATTTTATAGAAAGTTAACACATTAATATTATCTTATGTATCAAATATAGAGATTTTCTAGCATTTGCTATTACTATTTCTGATTTCATGCTATAAAAATGTATACACATAAATAAAACTTATATAATATATTTTGCAATTTAATAAGAAAATTATATTTTACTTTAACATTTATATATATACACACATATATATATTACGTGGTGCGTAAAATTATTGTCATAAGCAACTTACTGAGACCTCCGCCTGATGGTAAATGTAAGCAAATGCATGATGTGAAAAAATTATGAAACATAGCATAGCTGTGTATAGAACATAATGTACAAATATTGTGCATGCTGTTTTAACTATATTATTGCAAATAGTAAATAATTAGCTAACATTTTTACTTAATATATTCTATGAAAAATGATAATATAAGAAAATACTGTATATAACTATGTGCAAGAAACATTAAATCTGTTTTAATATCTTTGTGTACATTACAAAAAGTTAATGTGTATTTAAACGAATATGTATTATACAAATATGTAGTATAGAATAATAAATTCATGATGATATTTTTAAAAGCAGATAATATTAGTTTTGTGTTCAATATAAACGAATAATCATTAGAAGAGTAACAAAATAATTTGTGATAGTATTTTATAATTGATTAAATATTAATTAACATAGTAATTAACAATATTTCATGCAAATATTCCATTAAACATACCTTAAATCTGAGAACATCCTCCATTTTAGCAGTTTTTCCATCACTCACACAACTTTGAAAAAATGAAGGTGCTACAGATACACCTAATGCTTCACTAGACATTCCTGTGCAAGCTCTTTCACTATTTACTGCTACAACCCTGAATGTTCCAAATAATAATACTAACAAACGTTGTGTATACACTGGTAAAGAAGTAATTAATCTGCAAAAGTTTAATAAAGTTAATTATTCATTTTAAGGGAACATAAATAATCAAAAAACTAATAATTACCTATGAATTTGATCTCTTTGCTGTTCCATGCTATCCAATTGAATAACAGTAAATAATTGTTGTTCTCCTTCCTTTCCAAAAACACCACCAGGTATTTTACGTAGAAATTTTTTTAGAACACTCGCTATTGTATAAACACTGAAGTTGTCCATATTGACTAAACGTCCAGTCTGTAGAAAATGAATAAGCTTTTTCATATTACCCTGATGGCCTGGTGCTCTAAAAACATCTTTCCTTAATGGAGCTTCTTTATTTAATTTCAATATCAGTACCTAAAAAATATGATTACTTATTTTAGTATTAATTTAGATCTTTTATATTTTTTCTTTTAAAACAAAGTAATCAATAATACATTTATTTTATGATTAAAAACATATACGTACCAATAATGGACCAGGTATATCATTTTTACATACTTCATCTAAGGGTACTCCAAACTTAACTCTATAATCATTGATAAAATATGTTTATATAATATATATATATATAAATTAAAATTTTTGACACATAACTAATGCTATCACTGACTTTTCTAAACGTCTTGGATACGGTGGTACAGAAGATGTATGTCCACAACTTGTTACCACATTACCGAGTGTAGCTGCTCGACGATGCATTCTTTCTGTCCAGCTGCTCATTGTATAATACATAAGGATGGCAATATGATATAAGTAATACGATTAAAGAAGTGTACACCCGTATCTTATAAAATCCTATAAATACAGAATTCTGTATTTATGCCATAACTTAGGTCATGTCGCTGACGATAAAAGACTCCATTTCGTCCACCATTCGAGTTATTTATTGATACCTGCGATATCTTGTATCATGACAAGTTCGTAGATATGATCATTCAAGCAGAAACATTTAATACATGCAAGCATAACCTAACCGCATCAGCTCACACATTGCGCGAATGCGGCTAGTAGCTTGCTCTGACGTTTTTATTTTAATCAGATACACGCTTTCAATGAGCGCTAACATTTCATTAATTGCGTCACACACTGCATAAACAATTTCGTAGGAAAAAATCTAAATACATTTCAGAACAGATCAACCACACCTTCCCTCGTTTCATATCAAAAAATCAATATGGCCACGATGGCTTTATAAACATTTGTCAAAAGTGAATTTAGCCATCAGTGAAATTGGATACCTTAGAGAGTAATCTATGTGGAGAAATCCTTTCGTTTGATTCTTCTTTAGCATACTAGATAAAATTAAAGTCTGACTTAATTGTTTTACAACATATTTTAATAAGAAACCAATAGTAATAATGTAAACTCTATTGTCGCAGATTGAAAACCTTGCGTAAGATTTAAATGCACACATTGATACCGTTCTTTTATCTATTATTATCGTTAGAGGTTATAAACTTTAAATTTAATAATTTAGAATTGGTATGTTCTTATAAGTACGAGATAATTAAAAAAATAAAAATATCAAAATCAAAATGTCTACACGATGGTAGGTATAAATGAAAATTTTATATGTTGAATTGTATTATTAATCTAGATATCATTTCTAATATATTATTCTAGGTATCCTATGTATCAAAAAGGAAATCCACAACTTAGAGTTTTTTTACCAAACTTCTGGTTAAAATTAGTTCAATCTGAACATAACCAACCTAATAATGTAGTACAATTTCAATGTTCAATGGAAATGACAAAACATGATGTGGCAAATTATTTAGAAAAAATTTATAATGTAAAACCTGTTCGAGTAAGAACAAGAATAGCACTTGGAAAAACTAAACAACTACATGGTCATCATTATGTTATTAAAGATGATGATGTCAAGATAGCTTATGTTATTTTGGTAAGCAAATTAAAAAACTTAAGAATATATTGATATTATTAAAAATAAGGTCAATTGAAATAATCTAGTTAAGATTATTTAGACAAGTGATATTTATAAATATAAGAACTTTTTATTGTAGGATAAAAATCAATCGTTTACATTTCCTGATCTTTTTCCAAAAGATGAAAGCAAAAAGGGACCAACTTTAGATGACGCAAAAAAAGAATTTCAATCATATTTAGATGATTGTAAAGAGCCAAATGCTCCTGGATGGTTCAGAATTTAGATTTCATATTTTCATTATATTTAATCCAACAAATGTTTATTTTAAAACGTTAAATGTTAATCTAAAAACAAATACAATAAAGTTAATTTAGTTTTTAATAACATATAAAAGAATTTGTAAAAATAAGATGTTGTTTTTCTGCTGATAACTTTTTTCATTTTGCTTAAAATAAGTAGTTCAATGAAAAAATAGGTTATTATTATGAAGTAATATTGTACAGACGCTTTCATTGTAATTATCATGAAATCATGTGTTTGACAAAGAAAATGAATAAAATAAAATACAATGAAATATCCACAATTTTACAGAGCACAAAATAACAGTACTTATTACAAATATATCTGTTGAAAAATCCATTCTTTACATACTTTTATCTCTTTCACTTATACGCTTGGCCATTTTTGACAAAATTAAATATATAAATATTCATTTCTATTTATATTTATAATTTAATATATAAAGTAACGTTAACTTTATAAAATGATTAAAAAAAACTGTAGATATAAATACTATATTAATACTATATTTATATTGATACTACCTTTCCATATTGTGCACTTTTATTTAATACATGTAACCATGTTCTTGCGTTGATAAATCGTTTTAAAAAAGAACTATTGACTATTCTATCAACAAAGATATATTCAGAATCGTTGAATATGAATACACGATAGTTTTTTGTTCACATCAAGGAAGAGTTGCTTTAATGAACAAATATCAAGTAAATTGCTCCAAAAAACAATTTTATTATCCAACCATTTTTTATCAAACTTTACTCCTTAAGAATGTGCTAACAATTTAAATTATTCGACATTAAATAAAAATTGTTCATTATTTTTAAAAATTTTGTTGTACTTAAACAAAATTTTTTTATAAGTCCTTTTTGATCAAATACTACTAATCCGTATTTGAAATTTATAAATATTGAAGACATGGCGAAAAGGTGATTTAAATATGTAAATAGTTTTAAAAAATTAGAATATTAAGAATAAGGAGTAAAAAAATATAAAATAAAAATGTAATAACAAAGAATAAATCATGTTTTAACCATTTGCTTACATAATTATATTTTTAAAGTTTTAAAAATATTTAAAAAAAGGAGAGCAAAATAGATTTCCTGATAAATTATTAAAAAAAAAAAAGTGTCAACGTTGAAATATTCATTACAATGTTTTTTAATAATACTAAAAATATTATAACGTTTTTATAAATAATAATATGAATTCTGAATTTTATTAATTATATTATGCATTTGATTGCGAATTATCGATCAAACTTGATCGAAAAAATGACAGCATAGAAACGAATAAACGCATAGGGAATTCTCATTTTTCTATTATTTAAGACAGGTAAAATATTTTATACTATTATTATTCTACATAATTACATTGGAAACAAATGTAAAGACAGCTGATATTTTTATTATCTTAGTAATAATTATATATCAATGAAAAAACGTGCATGAATGCTGTTCGTACTTATAATCATTATTTTTCAATATATATTGTAATAAAATTAATTGATTGTATGAGATAATTATAAATCTTTATAGAGTAGCGACACTTGGAATGGAGAAAACTAAGACTGCATTTTGTACAGATATGGATAAATCTGTGATAGTGCATAATTTTGAAAAAAGAGGTTGGTCACAAGTTGGTCCACAAGATGATTGGAATGTTTATTGGTAATTGTTTGTAATAAAAAAAAAAAAATAAAATATATCGAATTACATTTAAAGTAACTATTCCATTTCTTTTCCTTTTATAGGGCAGCTACGCAATCATGTAGAAATATTTTTAGCGTAGAAACCGGATATAGAATGAATGATAATCAGTAAGTTTTAGTTTTATTTTACTCGACAAATTAAGTTTTGGCACATCAATTTTTTATATTACTTTTATTTCGAATCATTTAGGATTATAAATCATTTTCCAAATCATTACGAATTGACCCGAAAAGATCTTTTAGTAAAAAATATTAAACGTTATCGCAAAGATTTAGAACGGGAAGGGAATCCTCTCGCAGAAAGAGGAAGTGGATCGGGAAAGTATCTTCATTTGGATTTCATACCAGTTACTTTTGTTTTACCGGCAGGTAAATCACACAAATTTTCTTTTTAATTATTTTTGGAAATAATCATAAGAAATAATTATGATGTTGTTTTAATAAAATGATTTGAGAAATAATTAATATAATATTTTAATATTATGTATGGTCAGTATGATAAATATCTTAATGATTTAAAAAAATAATTTTATATTATTTGAAATAGATATTTTATAAAAATCTTAATGATTAAAAAAAAAAACATTTTTTTAATAGATTACAATATGTTCGTGGAAGAATATCGAAAGTCACCACAAAGTACGTGGATTATGAAACCATGTGGGAAATCTCAAGGGACGGGAATATTTTTAATAAATAAATTGAGTAAATTAAAAAAATGGTCGCGGGAAGTTCGAAATCCATTTAATCCAAATCTTACCAAGGAATCTTACGTTATATCTAGGTATACACTAAATAAATTAATAAATAATTACTTGAATGTTTTACCAATTAATGAAGCAAATTAAATTATTTAGGTACATAGACAATCCACTTTTAATTGGAGGGAAAAAATTTGATCTTCGTTTATACGTTCTTGTTGCATCTTTTCGTCCATTGAAAGCTTATTTATTTAAACTTGGTTTTTGTCGTTTTTGTACTGTAAAATATGACACCAGTATTCAAGAATTAGATAACATTTATGTACACTTAACTAATGTTTCTGTACAAAAACATGGTGTAAGTAATTTTCTATGATTTAATTATATTAATATTATATTTTTATTTTTCAATATTATATATTAATTAATTAATATTAAATATAATAATACTAAAATGTAATTAAAATGGAAGCACAATTGAAAAATCGTCAATTTTTTATGAAATGTTTTTTAGGATGAATATAATAGTATACACGGTGGAAAATTAAGTTTACAAAATTTACGTTTGTATTTGGAGAGTACGCGAGGGAAAATTGTAACGGAAAAATTATTTTCAAATATTTCTTGGTGCATTGTACATTCTTTAAAAGCTGTTGCACCTGTAATGGCAAATGATCGTCATTGTTTCGAATGTTACGGTTACGATATTATTATTGATAATAAATTAAAACCATGGCTCATTGAGGTATTTTTTTTACAATTAATTTATACAATTTACATAAAAATAAATAATAAATGTTTAATGTCTAGGTCAATGCTTCTCCATCATTAACATCGACAACAGTAAATGATCGAATATTAAAATATAAATTAGTAGATAATATTATATCTGTAGTTTTATCACCAAGTGGAATACCTGAGTAAGTAAATAGAAGTATTTCCATCGATATTAATTTAAAAGATAAATTATTTTAAACGTATTATCAATACTATATAAATATATATATAATTTTTTTTTTATAGTGTAAGATGGAATAAACGTCCACGTCCAGAAGCATTAGATAATTTTGAACTCCTTTTGGACGAAGAACTATCGACACAAGAAGAGAAAGTCAATTCAATAGATAAATATCGAAATTTATCTGGTAAATGGAAATAAATGATATAATTATAACAATATCAGAAATATATTTATGCCTTTACACAATGATTTTTTAAAATAGCATAAGGAAATCAATAAACTAATATGCGTAATTTCATTAATTTAAAATACATTAATAAAAATTTTATTTTTTGTACAAATATCTTACAAACATACAGCGCTATACTTTCATACAAATGTAAAAAAAATATAAACAATGATTTCAGTCTTCAATACTAGACATTATTAATATAATACGATAGATTCCTTCAAGGCAATGTAAAATGGCAGTGCGAGGTCAGAACCTTTAAGACTCTTAATATATTTTATACAGGATTCGATAATTGTGCTATACATTATAATGATAATATTTAAATGATTATGGCACAATTTTCTAATTGAGCTACATTTACAGGAACAATGAAGTGGACGATGTGTACATCGGATAAAATTTTACGTAATGTAATCATTATTACACATATTTCACATACATCAGACCTCAAAATATTTAACGAATATTCAAATATATTTATGATGTATTAAGTTGAAATTTTTCTATTTACATATTACAGTACAGAGAAAAATTTTCTTGAATATTACATAACTACTAAATGGTTTTTCATTTGCAATTGTTTTACTGTTACGATATATTTGATATTTCGTTCATGCATTCTTATCATGTATGTACAAACTACTATAACATGGTTCAATTTATATTTAGATATTTTGCAAGTTTTATTAGGCTTTTATTACTTAAAATACTTTTGATATTATTAGCTTATTAACGTAGATATCAAGTAATGCTTGCATGCTGCCTGTTTAAATTACTTCAAAACCTGATATGTTTATTATTTCAAATTATATGTTTAATAATATATACTTATGTACATGTATCAGAAGTTAAGACTTTCTATAAAAGAACAGAGATCTCTGATCATAAAATGAATAATAAAATATATAATGCAGCCTTTGGTTGAATTCTACCGTACATAAAAAACATGTGAATGTGCTTAAGAGTAATAAAATATAATGCTGTATATGTATATGTACAAGTGTATATACATATACTTAACTATATAGAATAAAAATAATAATGTCATAATTAACAAAATAATAATAAAATTATATACCATAATATAGAAAAGAAAAAATATTATCTACTTGGATAAAAACATTATTGAATTTTAACTGTGAGTATTATTTTCAGGTTTAGAAAAAAATATACATTTTTACAAAATAATATGAATATACTTAACACATTTTATCAAAATATTTGTACAAGCATTTGCACATTTTCACAGTACGTATACATTACTGCATTTAAACCTCCTAAATTATATGTAGTATATATGTAGATAACCATAGTAAATAGGCACAATGGGTTTATATGCTAATAACTGAAAAACGTACTTAGACTTTTCAAATAAACCAAATACATAATATGTGTGTTGCATCACATATATGTACCACATTTTCTAGAGAAATGTAACATTTGATAAAATATAATTTAATCATATTATTATTTATAAAAGAATACCTGAAAATGGTATTTATAGAATCTATATAGAATATAGTATTCAATATTATGTAAACCAGAGACGTGCAAACTTTTTGTAAAAGGAGAAATGATTCTCCCGCTACTGTTATTTAATTATCCCCATTCAAGTATGTTTACTTTTCTCCAGCGTTTTTAAATATTATAATTATTAATAAACTTCATTTATAGACAAACATGATAATATCGTAGTGTAGCAATGTAACAATAGTGAACAAATGCTGGAGAGTATTAATATGGTAGAAGGAAGAATCTGCTAAGGAGAAATAAAAGAAGGAGTAAAGATAAGAAACAATTGGCAATGTAAATTAACTTTGCACGTTTCTAGTATAAACGACAAATATGTCTACAATTTCTACTTTAGAAAAAATATTGTGTATGCAACCATTATCTTTTTTTATAATCTTTAGTCATTAATTAAAAACTCATCTTAAAATATGTAAAAGAATTTGTATAAGAGTAACATGATAAAAAAATGAGGGAGCATAAAAATGGACGTTTGAAGTTAATAATCTAATGAAATAATTAGCTGCCGATTTTTTTTTTTTTTTGGAAGAGAATACTACATATCTAAAATAAATTCATAAATAGATTTGTGTTTTTATAAAAAATTTAAAATATTCATCCATATTTATCTCATATTTGTTCCATATTATATTCATTATAACATACCTTATGGAACTGGTGATGGTGGCGGTGGTAATGGACTGAAATATGTCGATGATCGAGAACTAGGCGATGGTGGACAACTCATAGCAGCATCGCTATGATAGATAGATCTCGGTGTAGGAGGTGGAGGAAATGGTTCACTTTCGTAACGATACCGAGCAGGATAGTTACTATCTGATTCATCGCAAACATCAGTACTGCAAGGTGTTGGAGGTGGTGGTTGATTTATACTCCTGTAATATCTATACGGTTTGTATCTAGAAGCATTACTGCTTGAACATCTTGTAGAATTTGCTGTTGTGGCTGGACTAGGTGGAGGATTAAGCGTTTCTTGAGGATATCCACCAGTGGAACTGCCCCTGGTTGAACTAGATGCACCTATAATAAATAAATATATTTATCATATATGAAATATTCTTGATATATATTAAATACAATATTAAATCATTAACATACCTGTTATATGACTACGATCATAACTAGATCCAATACTGCTTCCATTTAAAGCAGACATTCTTACAGCTTCTACTTCAGTTTTGAGATCTTTTCTACCATTTTTTTGTGCTAATATTGGCTTAACAACTCTATTTGGTTTTGGTGAAAGTGGATCACCAGCAGAATCATGTAAAATATTTGGTACATCTTCATTACTACCGAACTTTTTACGATAATAACAAAAGCCTAAAACTATGGCAATAATTGCAGCTATCATTATAACTACTGTGATAACATATGGACTTTTGGTTGGTTCTGTACCAGAACCAGAAGATTGGCTTTGATCAGTAGTAGGCGTACATGTTTGAGGTATTTCATCACTTCCATCTGCACAATCATCCCAACCATTACAAAGTGCAGTTTCAGAAATGCACACACCACTTCCGATACATTGAAATTGTCCAGTTCTACAGCAATGTGCTTCATCAAGACCATCATGGCATTGTGGTGTACCGTCACATACCCACGAAATATCTTTATATAATTAGAAATGTTTATTTTAATATTATGTGATTCAAAAGATTAAAATAATTAACACCTCAAGTATTTCTTACCGATACAGTGACCACTTTGACATCTAAATTGATTATGATTACATGCTGGACAACCTAATTCATCACTTCCATCAGAACAATCCCTTTGACCATCACATTTCCAAATAGCTGGAATACAATCTTTATCAACTGTAGAACTTGAAGCAGCACATGTAAAATGATCGTCACCACATGCAGGTGCAGCTCTGCATGTACGCTCATCATCGGATAAAACTAAGTATTCGGGACAAGAACAAATTGGTGAAGTTGTACCAATACAAAAATGCGAACAACCGCCATAATCGTGGAAAGGACTGCAAACGTGTGATTCCATTATATGATCTTCTGGTGTTCTGACAGTTATTAAATCTGTTAGGGCACGATTCATAAGAACTTTTTTTCTAATGCCTGTTTTTTTATTTACTCTTTCTAATACTTGCATTTCGCGATCAAACCAGTAAAGGTAATCATATAGAACAGACAAGTGAGTAGCAACACCTTGTCCAGTTGATACTAATATTCTTTTATTATTACCATTAAAATCAGAAAATTCAATTTGTTTACCATGGGCCCAATATACTATATTTGCTACAGTGTCAACTGTTAGACTAGTTGGTTGTTCAAGATCAGATGCTATTATCACTCTTTGTTTTCCATCCATTTTGCTTTGTAGCAATTTCATTTTGTCTCCTATATCTATCCAAAACAAAAGTCTTTTTTCTGGATGTACTGCTATATTTCTTGGTTTTTCTCCTTCGCCCTTTACAACTACTCCTAAGGCAGAACCATTATCCAGTTTAGTAACATTAATTGCATCATTCGTAGCACAAGACCAAAAGAGTAATCTTCCAAGTGGATCTAATGCTAAATCAAATGGATGTCCTGATCCGCCGGATATAACTACACTAGCATGAGTTCTGTTATCAAGAGTCTTTCTTATAGATAAATTGCGCCCATCTATCCAATATACGTGTTGTGTAATTGGATCGAATTCTATAGAACGAACATTTTTTAATCCTTGTACGCGCATTACTATATCTGGACAATCCGTACTATCTGGCAAAAAGCGACCCATTATGTTACGAAGGCTATATATCATAAAATGTCTTGGTGCTGAAAAAAATTAATTAATATATTAACAAAAACTATAACGTAATAAATTAATGAAGTAATAATAATCTAGAAATTTACCAATACAAGTTCTATTATCAACTGCAAGATTATAGTGTGTAGGACAAGAACATTTGTATGAAGTTGATGGACCACCATCTTCTCCAGGTAAAGCAATACAAAGATGACTGCAGTCCCCATTATTAACTGCACATGGATTCCATCCCGATTGTCGTGAAGCATGAAAAACTAGCAGATCTGTCACTGATTCTAATTTATTATGTATTTTAGTTCTGTTAGCACCTGTTGTTTTATTTGCTCTTTCAATATCACCAATATTCCAATCGGTCCAATAAATATAATCCTGATATTGAGTAATACTAAATGGATATACTATATCTTTTGTAATAATGGGCTTTCTCTTTCTTGCTTGTAAATCATAACTATCAATTGCTGGTGTGAATAGATCTGCCCAATAAAGTTTACGAGCTGCATGATCTATGGTAAGGCCATTAGCTCGACCGATATAAGCTAATATTACTTGACGATTAGATCCATCTAATCTTGCACGTTCGATACTACCGGAATTACCCCAATCAGCCCAATACATGTGACTGAAAAATTTAATAGACCTGAGTATTAGTAATATAAAAATCATTAAAGAATAAATATTATTTCTTGATGTTTCTTAAATAAATCTTATTATTCCTTATAAAATATTAATTTATCATTAAGGAAGATAATTACAATTACCCTCTTTCAGGATCAAGAGCCAAACATGCGGGTTCGATTATATCTTGCCATATAAGCACCCGTCTACTACATCCTTTAAACCGTACCATTTCAATCCTGTGTGTACCAGTATCGCTCCAATATAAATTATGGGCAATCCAATCAATAGCTAAACTCTCAGGAATTTCTAATCCAAGATCTACAACTCTTTCTACATCAGAACCATTTATAAAAGCACGTGTTATAGCTTTTACTTTTACATCTGTCCAATAAATGCGATTGTCTTTCAAATCAAAATCCAAAGAACTAAAATTAATAGATGAACAATAAATTATATTGACTTAATTATATCTTTAATTCAAATAAAATAAATATTAATGCTTAAAAAAGAAACTTTTAAGGTAATATTTTCCAATATCAATATTAGAGATATCAATCTAGTATAATAGTACCATAATAATAAAAATAAATAATACTGTAACATTACCTTGCATCTTTAACACCTGTAACAGGTATAATATTATCATTATTGGCATTTTCAATACTAACGCGTCCAATATTTTCTTTCTTTGCAAACAATAGAAAAGCATCTGGTATTACACAGGTATGTTTATCTTTTGTAAGTTCATATCCAATTTGACAAGCACATACATATTTATCAGGTCTATTTAAACACAAATGACTACAACCACCATTGTTATGCGCACAAGGACTTGTACCATTTATTTGGCCAAGATGTATAGCTTTCAATCCCATTACATTTGGAACTGGTTCAACAATAACTTCTCTTTCACCACCAGTAAGTTTATGAGCTCTATCAATACTACGTCGTTGCCAGTCAGTCCAATAAAGAAAATCACCCAATAAACTAAGTCCAAATAGATGAGGCAGATTATCAGTAATAACTTCACGTCTATCAGTGCCATCCATATTGCAAACTTCTATTTTGTCTGTTTTAGCATCACACCAATAAATCTTTTTTCTTTCCAAATCTAATGCAATACCATTTGGCCAAACAATGTCTTTTGTAATTAAAATTATTCTTTCACTACCATCCAAATTACTGCGTTCTATCTTTGGTCGTTTTTCATTCCAGTCAGTCCAGAACATCCATCCAAGTTCAGGAGCTACAGCTATGGCTCTAGGTTCTATCAGATCTTCATTAATAAGAACCTTCCTGCTAGTGCCATTTAAACGGGCAACTTCAATTCTATCAGTACCTGTATCAGTCCAATATAAGTTGCGTGCTAACCAATCTATAGCAATTCCATCTGGATTTGCTACTTCTGTTGTAACAATATTTTCTTGACCTGATCCATCAAGATAAGCTCTTCTAATGGCAAAAGCCTCTTCATCTGTCCAATATAACATTTCATCTACTGGATCAAAGTCTACTGCAATTGCATGTTTAATATCACTTAATGGTAAAACAAAATTTGTGTAATCAGGAGAATCAAGAGATATTTTACAAATCTCGTTTCTTTGAACTATGAGAAGCAACTCTTCTGGTCTTTCGGCACAAGTAAAATTATCTAAAAGTTTTACACCCGTTGGACAAGCACATGTATATCCAGGATCCTTTGTGCTTAGCAAACATAGATGGGAACAATTACCATTGTTTTGTCTGCATGGATGATCTCCGTATGGTTGTCTTCGTGCATCCCAAACTTCTATGTCACCTGGTATATATTCTCCGTGGAATAACTCCCGAGGATGTGCTTGTATTTGTCGCACATCATGTGCATGTACACACCATGTTTTCCAGTCCGTCCAATAAAGTCGATTATCAAAATACGTGACTGCAAATGGATAATCTAAGCCTTGACTGATAACTTTTCTTCTATTTTTGCCATAATAATCCATAACAGCAATAAATTTGAGTCTACCATCTGCCCAAAATACTAACTCATTCTCATAATCAACTGTAAGTCCATTTGGCCAGAATATATCATCAGAAACAATGACTTCACGAGTAGTTGGATCTCCATTCATTGCTGCTCTTTCTATCTTTGGTACATCTCCCCAGTCAGTCCAAAAAAGTATACTTTTCATAGGTGCAAGTGCAACTGCACGAGGTTGATAAATATCAGTCCAAAAAAGAACTTTTCTATGTTGTCCATCAATACTAGTCACTTCAATTCTATTCTTTTCTCCATCTGTCCAATAAAGTTTACCAGTATACCAATCACATGCCAGGCCATCTGGAGATATCAAACTTGAATTTACAACAGTCATTTTTTCACCTGTATATGTACCATTTGAAGGGACACATTGTATCATTTCTAAACCACTATCAGACCAACACACTAAACCACGTTCATAATAAAAATCCAGAGCAGCACCTTCAGATAAATCTTTGACAATCGTGTAAACTTTATTTGCTCGTGAAACATTGGCCATTCTTATATCCTTATGAGTAGCAAAAAGTAATGTAGGTGAGCCTGTAAAAAGTGATTATTATAAATGTATATTTGATTACAAAATATATATATATATATTTGTGTGAGTGTACAATACAGAAATACAAATTTTTATTTTATAATTCATATATATTTTGTATGTATGTATGTCCTTGTATACACATAAACTACTGAAAATTATTTAAACTCACCATAGCAAAGGCTAATGCTACTGCACAAAAACCAAGCAGCTAGGATGCTTTGAAAATTTCCTAAAGCCATCCTAGGACTTGAGATAAACGTTTACCTCGTACATTCTGATTATGATAATTTTCACCTAAACTCCGGGCGAGAACACGTATTTGATACTTCGATAGTTTGTAATTATTTCAAATAATGCCATTACAAATTGTTATAATGTCTACGCATTTCAATTTTTTTCTTCTACGAAAAAGCGGTCATTAATACACAATGTCATGTTTAAATACACTGTATACAATTCGAACCATTGTCTTGAGCTCAGCCAAGCTTCTTTTCATCAGAACTAATCTTGATTTCCAGCTAAGCGATGATCATCCATTTTCTTTGAAAAACAAGCTTTACGTATTTCCAGTAAGTACAGAATTTTTATGAAGGAGCATTTACATTGAATCTCTTATTCTAAGATATTCAACAATAATGGAATATATGTTCATCAAAATACAAACTATGTATGAATTTTAAAGATAACATTAATGATTGAAATATTAAATAAATTCAGATTTACATACTTTTCATTATAATTTTAAGGAACGTTTAAAACTACAAGGTCGTTGTCAATTTATAAAAGCCAATCAAAATACAAGTAGCTATCTACTGCTATTGATATCTAAAAAATAAATAAATAATTGTGAAATTAGCTGTTAATTCCATAAAATTTTCACTTTATTAACAATACCTAAATATTACTATTTACAAATTTATAATTCAATTTTAATTGAAAAATTATATAGAACTTTATAGAAATCATTACATATCTGTGAAAAAATCATAAGAATAAATTTTCTTTATTTTTTTCTTGAACTCTCGATTGAATATATTTTAGGTAATTTATTGTTGTCAATAAATTTATATTTTATTAACGTTACTATTTTATATATGCCGCTAAAATAAATTGTAACAGAGCACCATCTGTGAAGTATTTAACTTGTTATTTCCAGTCAACTTTATTTGAGTATATACATATACATATATATGATGTTAGCAAATTTATAAAGCAGCTGATGCACACGGTACATACAATTTTGAATTTCAAGCAAAGTTTTATTATAGATTTTTTGATATAGATCATATATATTTCCTAATTTGAAAAATAATGGAGGAAGGGTAATTTTTATTAACAGTTGTAAGCAATAATTTTGGATATGTGTAATGAGTTCTCCAATCGTCCTGGTTTCGCTTTGCGTTATTCGCATTGAGATTGTTAATCCAAATCAGGAAGAAACAATTAGTAAGTTTAGACGAATGACTTATATGTGCTTTCCATAGTTTTTAAGTAAATTTCAGTGAATAGTTTTTAATGCATTTAAGTATGCATATGCATCTTCATTTTAATTCATTGATTTATAGGTACAATGGCTGCTAGAAAAATGAGAGGACGTAGAGAAGCAAGAGATATTACTTTAGAAAACTACTCGTGTACTACTGAAAGGCCATCTCCTTTTTTAACTTCTCAAGGATCTAGTAAACCACATTTATTACCAAGAGCAAACTCTGAAGAAACTTCGTTTACAACATGTACTTCTGTATCAACTTCTGAAGGTGCAGAAATAATTGGAGCTACAGCTTGTTCACAATCCGATCAAATAAATTTTATTTCTGGAAATCCATTTGTGGAAGTTACCAAAGGAATATTACATCTTTTTAAAGAAGAGTGAGTAACATGCATAAATTAAAAAAAAACGTTTCTGATAAAATGATTTGTATTTATTAGGTTATCTAGATAGAAAATATTTATTCTTTTCTCTTTTATTTAGTGAATTAACTGAAATGCATAGTGCAGCGGATCGCAGTCATACCATATGTATGCTGTCAGTTCCAGCAACAATGACTTGCCATGATCTTTTGACATTCACAGCAGCTTGTCATCAAGATATTCAGCATGTCAGAATTTTGCGGGATGGTAATCCAAATCAATATATGGCTTTAATTACATTTCGTTCTTCGGTAAATAATGTTACATTGTATTAAGTCTTAAAGATTCTTAATTAAATAAAAATAATGGTTTTTTTTGTATATATTTAGAGTGCAGCTAGTGAATTTTATGAAACTTTCAATGGGGCACCTTATAATTCTTTGGAACCTGATGTGGTATGTCATCTGGTGTTTGTGTCAAAAGTTGAAGTAGGAGATAATGGTATGCCCTTAACAGGTCATACAGAATTGCCTTCATGCTCTGTTTGTTTAGAAAGAATGGATGAAAGTGTGGATGGTATATTAACCATATTATGTAATCATACATTTCATTCAAGTTGCCTTGTAAAGTGGGGTGATACATCATGTCCAATTTGTCGTTATGCTCAAACACCAGAACCACTTGCAGACAGTCACTGCATGGAATGCGGTATGTATTTTTTGAGTATATATAAAATTATATAAAAAATATTTATATTTTCTTATTATATATGTTTATAGTCAATGAATTATATACTATCATATCGTATGGTTTCCTACAGCTGCAGGAACAAGCAATGAAGCCTTATGGATTTGTTTAATATGTGGTCACATTGGATGTTCTCGTTATCATCAGGGACATGCATTTGAACATTATCGTGATACTCATCATTGTTATGCAATGCAATTAGGTAACAATCGTGTATGGGATTATGTTGGTGATAACTTTGTTCATCGTTTACTACAAGATAAAGATGGCAAGATGGTGGAGGGAGGACAAACAGCAACAAAAAATGAAGGTGCAGCTATGGAAGAGAAAGTTGATTCAGTTCAGTTAGAATTTACATATTTATTGACATCTCAGCTTGAAACACAACGGCAATATTTCGAAGAAAAGTTTAATCGACTAGAACAACGTTCTTTATCAGAGAGTACAGAATTAAGAGAAAAGTTAGGCCAATTAATGGAAGAAAATACAAAGTTTAAGGTATTACACAAAATTATTTTAATAAAATTTACTTAAAAATTATTATTATTATTATTATTATTATTATTATTATTATTATTATTATTATTATTATATTGGCAGCATTTAGTTTTTATTATTTAAGTATCTTAATACATACGTTTTAGGAGCAGTTTACATCACTTAATAAAGAAAAACAATCTTTGGAAAAACGTTTACAACATACTACAACTAAATTAACACAACTTCAATCTGAACTAAAAGAGGAAAAGGAATTAAGATCATCTCTTCAAATTAACCAAACAACATGGCAAACAAAATATAAAGAATTACAAGAAGAACTATCAGAATTAAAAACTGCAAAAGAATCTGAAGTAAGAGACTTGCAAGAACAAGTACGAGATTTTATGTTTTATTTTGAAGCTCAAAAACAAATTGAAAATTCTGCAAATAGAGATGAGATAGCTGCTGGTCAAATAGTTATTGCACCAAGTCCTAGTGGTAGCAAATTGAAAGGTTCTCGTTCTTCAAAAGGTCACAAAAGGCATTAATATTATCGTGAAAAAAATTGTAACATTATTTATTACCAAAATACAAGCGCAAGGTGTGATTATTTAATAAATAAGATTAAATATATTATATTTGTAAATGAAATCTGAATTTAGGCTATCAAATGAAATAATAATTTAATAAAAAAACCCATTGAATCATGTGTTATTTAATACGAACATAAATATGACAATAACATTTTATTATGTTAAGTTCTCCAATTTTTATTTGATTTATATATACGATAAACTAAGATTATCAACTTTTCAAAGTGTGTATGACTTCAGCGACAAGACGGAAAAAAAGTAAACTACAAACGCAAACAGAGAACACTATTGCCATCATGCATATTGTATTAGTTTATAAGTTTGTATAGGTATACCATACTCTTACGTAACATAACATAGTTTAGTAGATTCGAATTCAAATTTTTCGTTCTCCCACATTTATATGCTTCTTTAACTGTTTGAGTCCCAGGGGATATTAAAAAACACTGTTGAAGAATACCAAACAACGCAACCGTGCTTTCTCTAAATGAATACGAAAAGACCCAAGCGGCGCGATAGCGCTTCTTTTATTTTATGTCGATAAATCCCAAGCGGCACGATAGCGTTTCTTTTATTTTATGTTGATAAATCCCAAGCGGCACGATAATGCTTCGTTTATTTTATGTTGATGAATCCCAATCGACGCGATAGCGCTTCTTATATTTTATGTCTGCACATATAAGATGTATTAGGTAACGTGATTCTCATCTTTTTCATATCGTTCCGTCACATTTATTGTAGTTGGTAAAGTGATCGGACGTATTTTTCCATAAGATGAATCGGATAAAATGCTGTATACCTGTCTTAATGAACGAAGATCAGTTAAATATTGGAAAAAGATAGCCTTTAATATAATCTGCCGGATGGTTTTAAATGCATATATAATCTACAAGGAAAGAGTTAAGAGTAAAGCAATAAATCGGTTAGATTTTATTTCGAATATTATTTTTGAAATTGAATGTGAGTGGATGAACGAAAAAAAAGTACCTGGTTATGTAAAGGAAAATACATTTGGTTTAGTAAAGTTGCCACGACGTAACTTACGACAATGCGTAGTCTGCAGTACCAAAAATGTAATAAAAAGATCACATTTAATTTGTGTGCAATGTAAAAAAGGAATTCATTCAATATGTTTTGATAAACACGGATGTTACAAATTATAAGTATTACTCTTTATTTAAATTGTTTGTTCATAACACAAAAATATTTTTAATTTGTAATTCGTTATTTTATGAAATACATTTGTATTATTACATATGCGTACTGTAAGTTTATAAATATTTCAAGTTTTCTACGATAAAAATTATTGAGAAGATAACAATGAAATAAAAAATGTTTTATTTTGTAATGTATTATTGCACTATTACTATAGTATTATACCTATTGTAAAATGTATTTTACGATAAGTACAACACTATAATGTATTTATTTAAAAGAAGGAGCTGTGTGATATACTTGTATCAGTAAATCTGAGCGCGCGACTTCGACAGTCAGTGATACACCGTCAGTTGTCCACAATGCTCCAAATGTGCTGGTTTTTCTCGACATAAAATCTGAACAGCGCGATCGCGCTACTTGGGACTCAAACGGTTAATAATGGCGTGCTTATCGAAGTATCTGTGATAGATACGATATCGGTACGCATTTGTTTCATAATAAAGAATAATAAATATAATTAACACATATGATAATTAGTTTATAAATTTACGAATTTAAAGAAATCACAGTGGTTAAAAAAATATTCGTATACTTAGTTTTTTGGCAATAATTTTCTACAAACGAATTATGTATTGCCAAAAATTATTCTTATTAATATAATACTGTCTACAGATATAATGTACTAATTAAAAAATACTTTATGATGTATTAAACAAAATTTATATAAGAAACACGAAAATTTGAAAGTCAATAAAATATTCATACACATTATTCTTCTGGTAAATCGTCGTAATAAACGCATATGTCGTCGTAATACCGACCAAAACATAAAAAAATACTTTTTGACATAGAGATCATAAAGAATATAGTCTTTTCACGGTGGCAGTATTTCGTTAAAGTTCATAAAGAAAGCACGACAATGAAAAAAAAAGAAACATCCGTATCTGTACGCCATTACGTTATTTTTCTTCGGAAACATGAAGAAAGATATCGAAAAGATGGGAAAACTTAAAATTTATCTTTTGCAACAGTGCAGTACATTGTTTCAAAATATAAAAATAGTAGAACAACCGAAAATATATTACGATCAAGTCGACCGAAAATATTATCATTTAGAAAGCGTCGGAGTGTTATTCGAGAAATTTTTAAAATTCCTTTTACAAGTTCTAGAACATTATTTTGTGTTCTTATTCTTCCCATATTCTCGCGTATAAATCAATGATGAACCCACCCCTTCGCCGATACATCGGATTCATTCGATTGCAGACGAATCTATTCCTCGATGATTCCTTGAATAGAAGAAGAGAAAGAGATGAGATAGAAAAAAGAGTCAGAGAAAGAAAAGAAAAGGAAGCCGAAAAATGCGTCGAAATCGAGCTCGATTTTTCCCTACTGAAAGAAATCCGAGGATTCACACTGAACAACCCTTCTTAAAGGTTCCCACCCTAGAGCTCTACACAATGCTGAGATAGCAGCCCGCACAAAGGATCATACTCATGGGTCCAACCCACTCAAAATTTATAAATAATAATTAATAAAAATAAATGAGAATAAATAAGAATAACATCGAAAATAAGTACGATAAAAAAGTTTTCTTTACGTTTTTCTAAGAAATTATTTTAGAATTCTATTATATTTAATCATTTATCTGAAATATTAATATAAATATTTAATATAAAATACGAACAATATAAAATGTAAGTACTTTAACGTTTAGATAAAATTAGAAAGAAAAGATTTTGGAAAAGTATTGAAATATGCAGCCATTCGCTCAGTAATACTTTTATCCTATAAGATTTGGATATATCGCAAATACTATCGATCCAGGTCTCATCAATATGAGATTACTGCATCTGGATATCTACAAGTAGACGAGTAGTCTACTCTAAAATCCGCGTTCCTGTGGTGATATGAATTTAGCAAGAATTCAACTCGTAATTAAATATCAGTAAAATAATTTTTTTTTTAATTATTTCTTTCGGAGTTGGCAATTTATGTTTGTCAAAAGATAAAATTGAATTTATTTTATATTGATCGTGTCTTATGATTTTTATAATGTTGCTAAGAATTTCTTATTGTTTAAATATTAGTTAGTTATACTTCATGTATCTCGGTCATCGTTTAAATGTTAGTAAAATAATTTTATTTTTTAATTTTTAATTTTTTATTTTTTAATTTAATTTTTTAAAATGAGATCTTGGCAGACTTACTTGTGTACTCATTTTAGCTTCCTATGCACATTAGTTCAATGCAATTTTAGTGATCTCCACAATTGTCATATCTTATACATTTCATAGATATATGATTTTAATATAGAATTCGATTTTATTAGAATAAAATTATGAATTTAATTGAACTTTTTTATTTGAGTTATTTTCGAAGTTTCTAGTGAACTTTTGAAAATAACTCGATAACCTACAGTTACCCCCTTGAGCCACGATTTGTGGAAACCTATATATAGTCTTATCTTTGTTTCATACCCTAACCTAATCGATTATTTAAAAATTCTATTTACTAAGATTCTAAATGTTAAGATATGATAGAAAATCGTATTATATCAAAAAAGTATAAACCTTATCTTTTTAGATAGGAACTGATTACTACCTTTTCGAGGGATACTTTTTCAACAGAGCAGGAAAAATTAATTGCTAAAAATTTTGATCTACAAATTCTTTAACTTATCATCTAGGACTACGAAATATGATTCTACAAATCTCTTTGTTTTTTTAGCAAATACTCTACTCCCTTTTTCTCTTTCAAAAACAATAACTTTATTGAGACTATTCTATTATCAATTCAAATTAATTAAATATTTAATTAATAGTGATTTAAAAATATAAAGTAAACTTTTGGACGCTCTTTCTTACAAGCGAGTATTTTAATTATTATAAGAAAATCATGCATCAATTTCGCTTATAATCCAAAGCGAATATCTATTGTGAATGTCTTCTTGCTCATTTTTTATTAGAACTCATGAATATCCATTTTTTACTATTTCCGCGCGAGGAAAGTATTTAAAAATGCATTAAAATATTCAAAATTTGAAATAATTATAAACGCGTTTGAACAAAAGGTCCTATCTTCATTTAATAAATAAATCAACAAATAAGAAAAACATTCACGAATAAATCTCCGAAGAAATTTACTCGTGGTCACTCAATGTTCTTTTATTAATAATTACAACCAATCATTCGTGCCGATTCGGATTTTTCATCCTTGATATGATTGAGTAATTAGAGGGACTTAAAAACTTGTAACCATCAAAGTTGATCAAAAGTTTGATTTCGTTGACGTTACACGTACGCAATAAATTTAATGCAAAAGAAAATTATTTTAAGTTTTTCGCGCGTTACCGTCTTTTTAATGATTAAGTGAATGTAGTCACTTATATTAATTTTTTGTTCTCCGCATACACTATATATTGTTTAAATAATTATAAAATTACTTAAAAGATTAATTTCTAAATTTTCACGTTTAGAAAGAGAGAATGTCGATGTGCACTCGTCGACATTTAATCGATAAAAGAAAATTAACTCGATAATCGTCAAAGTTAATAAACATATATACGTATATGTCGATATTACACAAGACCAATAACCCCGAGATAAAAATTTTTAAATATTGGAATTTTAGATTAAAATTATTCTAAGTTCCTCGCATGTTACAATCTTTGTGATATTGAACACAAATTTCATTATTTTTGCCATAAAATCATCTATCCAAAGAGTGATTAAGTAATCTTCTCCATGCAAATTCATTTTTTCTGCGTTTGAAATGGTTTAAAAAATCTGAGCATCATCTATTTATGCACACAACAAGCAGATAATCACTATTTCACGGAACATATCTCATTCAACGTGATATGGAAATCAGTAGTGGGGATCGAGCTTCTTTTCTTTTGCCGCAAATTTCGAGAGGCGCCACATACAAAACTTTTTCTTCGCGAAAAATGTCGAAAACAGTATTTATTCCAATAATGACAAGCAGCCGTAATTCTTGATCAATTTTGAAAAGATCTCACTTTAAAGAAAAAGACTTAATCTAAGATTCTGATTTCTCTAATTTTTGAAAAAGCTTTTTATTTGTGCATAAACTATTCTCGAAGAGATATCATTTTTAATACGATTTTTTTCAAGGAAAGTAAAGCTTCTTTAACGATTCGAAAAAGTGAGATCCTAAATTAAACCTTCGTTTTTAAAATAAGATTTTGCTCATCAAAATCGATTAAGAATTACGCCTGTTCTCATTATTGGAATAAACCATTATAAAACCAGGGGTGATGGACAGTCTTAAAGAGATATTGTGAATGCGAATATTAGTAATGTATTTCATTGAGTTTAACCAATGAAAATCGTGTATATGATGTGACAGGTATCACTGCTTTATCATTGGTTGGATGTTGTTTTTCCACAAAGCGTTATCAGAATGTCATTTTGTGCATGTAAATCCATGTGATTACGAATTGGGGTGGATAAACTAGCTAAGATGTGTGTATATACATTTATGTTTCATTATTATAAAATTGATAATTTAGGAAATCTCATTCCTTGATATATTTTGAATTTATAATTTAAATCTCCATCTTTCGGATATAATAAAATGGTATGTTGATGTAATCATGCAGAATGTCACGTATTATGTATTGTTTACTTATTACAGCTTTGCTAATATGGACATTATAAAGAAGTGCACATCTTATGATTTATGTTAAATTTTCTTACGTGTATAGTGTAACTGTTCTTTTTATATCTTTATATGAAGTATATATATATTTTTTTTTGAGAGAAACGTAGAGGTTATGTATTATCCTATTTAAGTGTCAAAGTAAGTACTATATCATATATTATTAACGTAAAACTTCTTATAGTCACTATATTTTACTTTATTAGTTTAGAATATAATTTTATTAATTATTAATTATTAGTGCATTTTACTCGAAATCATGATAAAAAGTCGTATAATCAGCAATCTTATTATTTATATCATTTATGTTAAAATGTTTTCAGAGTTATCATATATATGTATATATATATATATATATATATATATATATATATATATATGCAATTTTAAGAAAATCAGTATATAGTAATATATTTATTCCAATTATAATTTGATTATTTATATAAAAAGTAATAAAGAGAGATAAAAAATGCTATGGCTGAATCAGTAGCACAAGTTGTAGAAGAAGAATTGAATGGAGAAACAGAATCAGAAGCCAGCAGTATTTATCAATGTGGTTCAGTGATTTCAACTGTTCCTGATCGTCATGGTTTTCTTGGAGGTTCACAGTATAGTCCTGAAAGGTGATATTGTAAACCAATAAAAATAATAATAGATTTTAGATAATGATATGCATTTTTATAGATTTATATTTATGTGCTTAAATGGATATTATAAATGTTTCAGAAAGGTAACCATACCACCTGATGTTATATTGAGAAGAGAAAGAAAATGGATAAGAATGTTAAATAATTGGAGTCTTTTTATGACTACTAATTATCGAAAAGTCAGAGAAAGATGCAGAAAAGGGATACCACCTTCTGTAAGACTTAGAGCATGGCTTAATCTATGTGGAGGACAATTATTAATGAACGAAAATCCTAATTTATACCAGGAATTAATTAAAAGACCTGGTGATCCAAAATACATAGAAGATATTAAAAAAGATTTACATCGACAATTTCCTCATCATGAAATGTTTGTTGAAAATGCACCTGGACAACAAGAGCTCTTTCAAGTATTGAAAGCATATTCTATTTTGAATGCAAAAGTTGGTTATTGTCAAGCTCAAGCACCTATTGCAGCTTTTTTATTGATGCATATGCCAGCAGTACAAGCATTTTGGTGTCTTGTTGCTATATGTGACAAATATCTTGTTGGTTATTACAGTCAAGGAATGGAAACATTAATACGCGATGGTGATATACTCTTTGCACTTCTGAAGAGAGTTTCACCCGTTGCTTATAAACATCTAGTCAGTTTGAAAAGTATATAATAAAAAATATTTTAACATTTTTAAAAGCATAATAATTATTTTGTTCAATTTTTACTATTTCAGAAGAAACAAAAGATGGAACCTATTTTATACATGACCGAATGGTTTCTTTGCGTTTACACTCGAACTTTGCCATGGGAAAGCATTCTACGTGTTTGGGATATGTTCCTTTGTGAAGGAGTTAAAATTATTTTTAAGGTAGGATTGGTATTACTCAAAGGATGTTTGGGTAGAACATCACTTACAAAGCAGTGTCCAACAACATATGAAACTCTCCAAGTTTTAAGAAATCCTCCACAGCACATAGTAGAAGAGGAAGCTTTAGTATATCAGGTAAAACAATTTCTTTTATCATTAAAGCAAAACTATATTTTCATAAATCATTAAAATGCATTTATAATATGATAGATTCAAAGGCTAAATTTAAGCGAAGAAGATTTTGAATATGAGCATCAAAGACAAATTCTTAAAAGAAAAAATAAAGATCAAGCATCCCTCTCCAATGCGAATGGAAATGGTTGAGAAACAAAGAATAATTTTGATCCCAAAGTGTGCCTTCCCGATTCTTTTTATATTGTAAAAAATGTACAATTAAACATTTCATATATGTAATGTTTACAAGAGTACCTACATTGTGCAATAAGTATACAAATAATTTAGATGAAACCTTTACTTTAAATATCGCACAGACATATACATTCCCAAACAGATAGAGTGTATTTAGTTACCCTTGTTTTTTTTTTATATTATAGTTTAATCTAAGAAAGCACAATATACATATATAAGATGTTGTAGCATGCATTAATATTATATTTCTATATATATACTATCTTATTGATAGTAATAATATAATAACGTGTAAAAAATAAATCCAAAAAAAAAATGTATTTTTAAATGATATGCAATAATGTCATAAAGTAACAATGTTGCATTTTTAATTTAAGACTGTTTATTACCTTTCACTTGCAATGTAATCAGCGACTTTAGCGATTGAACAAAATATGAGCTAAAAATGCAATATGAAGATATTGTCCCCTCCATGCATCTATTGAATCAGTATAAGGTAGTGTAGTATACCGCTCTTATACGTAATTAAACAATCGAGTTAATGTGTGAAAGAAATTTTTGTATGTAGTACAAATAGTAGCACATCTGATAAAAGCAATTAAAAACTATATGCCAGATTATATTTCTCTGAAGATAAATTGATTGAAAAGTATTAGTTAATTGTGCACATTTTATATTTTTTATTTCTAATTAAACTTATACAAATAGTTAAAGAAAGAAAATCGATGATGAATATCTTAAATTTTGAGATATAATGACGAATATAACTAGAATAGAAAATATAATATTTAATTTGAAAAGCGTAAATAAAAATAAATAAAAAAAAAAAAAAAGAATAAGAGTAACAAAAAAATTAGAATTTTTCAGTGCGTTTTTCTAAGAAATTATTTTAGAATTCTACTATATCTAATCTATTTTACGAGATATAATTAGCAATGTAAAATTTATGATGCTTTAATGTTTAGTTAAAATTAGATAAAAAGGATTTAAGAAATGTAGTAAAATATGCATCCATCCTTCCAGTAATACTTCTATTATATAATTTAGATTTAGATTTCGATATATTAAAAGTAATATCAACCCAAATTCTACTCTTAGGAGGTTGCTGGTAATTATTCGTTTAATAGATAGCTTCATCTTGTAACAATGGAAGCTTCAGTCATTAATATTTAACACGGCCACTTGTGTTTTCTGTATCTCGAACAATAAAACGCAATCTTTGGTAGGATTTAAATCGCGCTCATGAATATATACGCCGATATGCGCGCATATGTTCTCCCTATCTTACCCGCATGGAAAAATGAACCTCTCCGCATCTAATGCAGAAAGATTACAAAACTCCTGTGTAAAAATTTAAATTCCTCGATAATAAAACAACATCTCGATTTACCTAATTTTCATCAATGGATCAGCCCATCGATAATAGATCGGTGCATCGACGAGAAATCGAGCGGGAGAACGAAAAAATTGAAAACCTGGGCTTAACATCTTGAAGATCGCTCTACCTAAGCAAAATCAAAGTACCCAAATTAAATTCGATTTATTTTTATTGAAAGAAAGGATCTCACTTGAGAGAAACTAGAAATCTTTAAGCAATTATAAAATTACCAAACACAAAACGTATTAATTGTTTAATATAAAATATTTGGAAAAATGGAACTCCGATGTTTACTCGTCGATATGGAAAAGAAGACTGAATCGATACATGTTAAAGTCAATTAAACGTTCGTTTTATTTTTATTGATATTAAATATAGTCAATGACCCGGAGATAAAAATTTAACTGTATTGAAATATTAAATTGAAATTATTTTATATTCAATGCATACTAGGAATTATGTAATGTTTAAACGAATGTGCACTATTGTTTAAATATTAGTTTATTGTACTCCGTGTACATTATACATCGTTTAAATAATTATAAAATCATTCCAATATTACATATTATTATTTCTAAAATTCATTAGCATAAAATTTAGTATTTTCTTATTTTTACTATAGAATTATCAGTCGAAAATTCATTTAAATGCCTAAGTAAGTTTCGTAGCTTTTCTGTGTGAGTGAAATACGTTTACTTGTGTTTGGAATGAATCAAAAAATTTGAGTATTAAAAATCCTCACTTAAACTTTCATCTTTAAAATGAGACTGTTTCAAAATCATTCAAGAATTACGCCTGTATTCATTGTTGATGTAAACCATTACAAAAACCAGTGATAATAAACAGTCTTAAATATTCTACTACATTCTTGATCTCCCCATATTTTTCTTGTTTCTTAATACGTATATGATTTAATCTGTGTAAAATAATTCGATGAAATATATTTTAGTCCTCAAATTTATCAATAGCACCCATAACGATATTAGTTAAATAAAGAAAATCGTCTTGAATTCCTCTTGTTGAGAAAATGCTATATTGGTGAAGTTTTGGTAAAAATAGAATTCCCATCATAAATAAAAGAGCTATACTGACGAATGTACTTATGGCTATAAAAAGTGGATTGCTTAATTGTTTTTGAGATGCACCTTCGGCAACGTTATCGATATTATGTGTACTCTGCAAAATATGACAATTATATGAGCCACGTGACATTAAATTAACACAAAATAAAATCATTAATAAATAAAAATAAGAGAATACTTTACTTACCATAAAATGGTGTTCATCATTTTTATTCATTTCATTTTCAAATGTTTTTAATGGAAAAAAATAATAATGATGATACGCCGGTTGCCTAATTGGTAATTCAAGATGAGTCTCTACGATTTGAGGTTTCTTGTCAGAAGAAAGAACATTTGACGAGGACGATACACTGACAAATGGTCCTTTTTTCAATGCATTTTTATAGATTGCAGCGAGTTCCGCAAGTAATCTACCATCTTTCAAATTTGTCGCGCTAACTAACGTGGGAGAGCGAATCTGTCAATGATTTGTAAAAAATTTTGATCGTCATTTGTTTGAACACATGTAAGATTTTTAAATATTAAAATACCTCGTAATATTGTGGTACATTATCCGATCCGGAATATTGTAAATCAATTTTTTTATGGGACGATGTTTTCGAGTTTCGAAAATCGTCATTACGAAATATTTGATCGTATTGTTGCATTTGAGAAAGTTGATTTTGAATTGAGTAGTTTTGATTTTGATTATGCTGTTGAAAATTATTAGATTGAAGATTTCCAGTAGATTCAATATACGTATTTGGTATCGTAGGTGAATGAAATTGTTGTAGTTCCAACATAACTTTTTGAAGATAGTCTGCACTTGACTCAGTTGTTGTTAGTACCCTTGTATTGACATCAACTAATGGCGGTATAATAATGAGCCATAAAAATTCGAATATAATATGTCTCATTTCGTACAATTTTTTGTTATTTTATGTTGCCAAACGAAACAGGCTCGTTACGATTAAAAATAAAAATAAAAGGTAATACACACATAATCACTGTTAATTAAAAAACGATCGAATACAATGATGGAACGTTAAAATCCTTTGAGATATTTTTTTTCTTTGGTAGTTGCTTTTCTTCTTTATTCAAATAGAATATTTAAAATTAAAGAAAACTTTTTATAATTGATTTTCATTATATATGTATGATCACATATTAGTTACGTATAACATGTTCATCAAGATACTGCTAAGACTAAACTGAAGTTTGCTGTCTTATTTGACCAATACATTCCCCACCTGTTTAAGTATTTCAATGGTAATAAGAAAGTTAGATTCTACCGAGTAGTCAATATATGATGACGATAATGATGTATATTTTTATACTAGTTATACACCCATATAATTACATGTGTTATATTAAAAAGAAATAATGAAGGGTTCATGATAACGGAATCACAAATAAGCAAATTCTCTTTGAGAAAATAAGTATATAGATCTGTCATTTTCAATTTTTATTTTTTATAAATATATTTTTAGATACGGTCAACTTGCTAATCGAAATAAATACATTATGAAGTATTACTTCAGATGATTATCCAATAATACATAACTGTAACTGCCATTTTTTCATTTTGATAAATGTTACGTGATCATTTTTCCGCGGAAATGACTATTATTAAGAATTTATGATCGACATTTCCCAGAAGGCATAATTATCTTACATTTTCTTCTTTTTAATATACTTATAACACGAATCAAATTTGAAATATTTTTGATGTAATACGTAAAATCTAATTTTTAATATATTGGACAATAAATTATAATAACACAAATCATTCTTATAAATATTAAATTATATGATACAAATATAATTCGTCATTTGAATCACTTTTCATAAGTAAATTTTTATAAATTTGAGTTCACTTTGAGAAGTTAATAATAATTAAGTATATAATAAAAATTTTATATTAAAAATTTAATTATTTTCACTATTTGAATAAATATATTGAAGTACTGAGAACAAACGACTAATGATAATACATATTCATTTTATCTTCCATATATATATATATATTTATATATGAATATACACTAATGTTTATGACAATGAAAATAAAAAATGATAAAAAAAGAACGAAAAAAAAAAAAAAGAAAAAAAGACGAGTCATTTTATACAGAAGGGTCATCGTGTAGAGTAAGCAACCGTTTTATAACGTATTCCGTAATGCTGGAATGGAGGAATAAACAAGCGTTCCCGGAATTGCGGTTCGGTGAATGGCAATTACATATAGGAGCCGTTAGATGTTAGATGACAGCCTTCGTGTCTGTTACCTCCGTCGTCGTCATTATTAAAGAAGAATAATTCTTATAAGGAAGATATTATGGGAAGTAGTTTGATTGTTGTAACACATATATGGCAAAATAGAAAAAAAAGAGAGAGAGAGAGAGAGAGAGAGAGGGAAATAGAAATGCCTTGTTACTGTACTGTTGTGTATTTTCTTTTACATCAAAGTGTACGATATCGTTTTACAATCTTTTCATACAAAAAGTGATTCGATGATCAGGGTCAATATTTAGTCCTGTTCCCCTCGTACATACATTGTTCATCGATAGGCGTACGATCGTCAATATTATTATATTTAATTTATAGATACAGATCTCTATTCGTGGTATAAACTATGCTTTTTTTTTCCTGTTAGGTTGAATATCATACAAAATCTAATATTATACGCAATTAATATTAATCCTTCATTATACACGAATACGATATTAATGCAATACGTAATATTTATTATATTATATAATTATTATTATTATAATTATTATCTTGTTAAATTTATTAATCTTATAGCTTAAGGAGTTACTTTACAAACAATATAACTCATGGTTAGTCAACGCACACGGAGACGGCAGTAATAGGCCCCCCCAATAATAGGCAAAAATAAGATCCAACGTTACAAATGTTCTTTCTTTCTTTACACGAATGACGATCCATGTTTATTCATGGGTCAATAATGATCGATATATCGTCGGTGTAATTTTCTTGTGCCCCGCTATTTTTAAAAGAGAGATTCATAAACTCTCTAATAATATTAAATCGAATATTTAATAAAAAATGACTGAGTGCGAACGATTTTTTAAAAAAGATCATCTTCTTTAATTATCCTTATTATTAATATTATTGTTATTATTATTATTATTATTATTATTATTAATTTTTTCTTGTAATAATTTTGTTCCAAGATCTTTTTTGTATTTTGAGATTATTTTGAAAATTTCGACAATTAATCGTTTAATAAGTATGCTGAAAATATTTTAATATTATTTCAAACGATCGATAAAAACACGATATTATCACGCATACTTGCGAGGAAATATTACATTTAAAAAGTGATCGTGAGAATATTCGCTGAGTACTTATATAATAAATGAAAATATGATATTATTCGCAATACTAAAGATCGGTAATTTTCTCATTTGTTTTTTTTTCCTTTCTTTTTAATCTTTCTTGAAACTCATTATTTTTTTTCTCGTATGAAATATCACAGGAATGTGTGTACTTGTATGCACCTGAAATCGTCTTTCACATTACTGGAAAACGCATAAGAAGTTTTAGCGGTTAATTAAAGCACGATTCCATGGAAATCGTTTTCCCCTTTCGTTCGTTATATATTATGTCATTAAAATATTTAATTACATTTATAACTACAATATATATTCAATCCAGTTATATTAATAATTACGAAGTCACCGAGAGTATTAACTAATTAATGAATTATTATTTTTAATAACACTAGCACCTATCAGATTTTAAATAATATTGAGAACTCATAATATAAACATTGTGTATGTGTATGTTTGTGTATGTGTGAACAAAACGATGAATTAGCTAATTAATACGTTAATATAGGAAATTATAATGATATAACTTTTTCTTTTTTTTTCTTTTAAATTGTGCCATATTATTATTATAAATTATGAGCAATTGTGGATAATTATATGAAAAACAATCGTTAGAAACGTACTTCTTCTTACCTGAAAAAAATACGGTGTGGATGGCTTAATTTGAAAATTGTTAAAGATAAAATGATGTTTACGATATACTAAACCGCCGTCTCCTTTTTTTTTTCTTGTTTTCAATTCTTATAAATCGTCTAACATACAACAGGCATCACGCATACACGACACGTTCTTTCATCACTCGTGTTACACCCTTTTTAGGATTATATTGTGCAATTGCACATTCATGTATCTATTTAAGAAATGAAAACAAGATTACAATAAGCAAGTTACTATTTATTTGATACTCATTAAGACGCTGTACTATCAAGCTTTCATCGGCAATGATCTTAACAAAAGTTAGAATATATATATATTTTTTTTTGTTGAATCTAGAGATTAGAGTTATTCATTATTCAATGCGTCCAATAAATGAAGTTGAAATATTTACGGATATATATTATTAGTTTCAAAGAATCAATTATTAAAGTACCATTTTAAATTTATTAACACGTATAAAACATGATAATAAAATATATAAGTATATAAAAAAAAAAAAAAAGTGGCGCTAGCGATGATAGATCTTTATAGGGAAATACGTAATTATGTCAATATTTGAAAAACTTAAAATTAAACGATTAACCGAATATAATAATGAAATTGTATGAATGTCTTTTTAATGAATAAAATTAAGAAGTTAATCGACAGATAAATTTTTTGTTCTTTTTTCTCTTTCTAACTTTATACAGTATATCGGTTAAAGATATTTTTTATCGTTGACTTTACAACACGAGTTTCTCATCGATCTTTCCTTCGAGAATTTACATTTCGTATCTAAAATGTAAAAACGGTTCTTCTGTTCAAATTTACCGCGCTCGTTTACACTAGATATATTCGAACTGTTGAAACGAACCATTATCACACCTATTCATTGATACGATAGCAACAACGATAAATGACGGTAACAATATAAATACAGATATACGTGTACAGGAATACTTATCATTTACATAGGTTTGGTTTCTTAATTCGTCAACGACGTGTCTCCGTGTGTATTAACGAATTTACGAATAATTTTCAATAATCGACTTCTCGAACTCGTATTTGACGGATTAAAAAACAAGATCTTAAAGATGCTAAAAATGATAATATAATTAAACGAAATGTATACTAGCAAATTACTTATATAGAATCGATTATTATAATTAGTTCGCTATAATGAAGATATTTATTTGTCGTAGAATGGAATGAAAGTTAATATGAAAAGGAAAGAAAAAAATAAGCTTTGCTGATATATATATATGTATGTATATATATATATATATGTATGTATATATATATATGTATTATATATAATATATATAATATATATATATATATATATATGTATGTATATATATTATATATATATAAACGCGATGAGAGAAATTTAATTAAACGTGATTGTCTCCTGCCGTAAAAGCATGATTTAGCAACGCACGTCTTGGTGCTAAATTTGACTAGAAATGAACGAACGTGCCAACAAATAAAACATATTCTTTCTTTTTTTCATCCTCACGCTTAAATTTTTCTTTCTTTTCTTATTTATGTCAATCTTGTTAATTTAACTCTAAACAGTGCATTGAAGAATGCACACTGATAAAGGGGTATCGCGTACATAGGATATTCCTAATTTCTGATGTATGAAGCGTAAAAAAACTCATCCTTCACATTATTACACAACTGTATGTAAATATTATACGAACTACGTACTTTAATCGCGTATTTTGGGATGAATAAAAGTATCAGTCTTTCTTTAGAAAAAAGTGCATGTGAGTCGCACGTACCATTACGCATATATGTATGATATATGTTTCCAGAGATAAACATATTCACATTTATGTGTATCTATGTGTATGTGTGTGTACAATTATGATAATACTAAATGTGGTAATAAATCATAAACTTTTATAACATACTCTTTTCTGGTCAAATAACGCATTAATAACATAAAGCATTAAAGTTAGCGAAAAATAATACATATAAACATTAGCCTTCTTTTCAATTATTCCTTCACATTTTTTATAAGCACTTCATTTTTTCATTAATACTCCTGCTGACTCACCATAAAATCTTTATCAATATGCATAATTTATTTTTATTTTCAATTATGATATATATATATAATATCGGACTTTTAAACAGAAATACAATAAATATGGTAATATATAAAAATAATGATAATAATTAATTTATGATGTATATTCACGTTATAAAGATGCATATTTGATGAATATCAATCTATCACTGGTTATTATTTCATTCCTGATGATATTGAATTTATTTTAACAAAAAAAATTCCTTTTTTAATTATTAATTAAATTAATTATTGTAATTATTCTCACGTATACTTGCTTCCAACATAATAATTTATATCTTAGTAAACAGAGTCAGGAAGAGCATTAATTATGTCATTGATTTTTTATCAATGTGAAATTAAAATATAATCTTATAATAAAACATAACAAGTAGAAGTATACGAAAAGAAAAAAAAACTGTTCTAATACTTCGTTATTATATATCTTGCATTTTTTTATCGGTGGTAAATATATACCTTCGTATGTTATTTATTTATTATGGCATTAAATGAATACTTTAAACTTTGCAATATTACTTAAAAAGAAATGACAACAAGATCATTATTTCCATTTTATAAAATTTAGTTCTTTAGAACAGTTTAATGATCATGTGATTAATATGAACATAATACTACAAATGATCATGAATATATGATAGCTTTATATTAATAACCAACCATTGATCGATATCACTGATAGCCCGTGTTTTTAATTGTGCATTTAATATTATCCTACTTGTTTAGGAATATACAATATTGGCCATTCGTTAAAAGATAATGTTTGCAAAAATTTCTCTAGTATCTAAACTGAGAATATAATATGCAAAATTCCATGTCCATATTTATGGAACTTGAATTATCTTATGCACAAATTTATGTTCAATATTATATTATGTTTGTTCATTAATATTTCTGCAGATGTTCTTTGGTTGGTTGAATATATGTTTATCTCAACTCTTATAAACCTTCAAACACTTGTTTGCAAAAAGTTTGCATAGAGTTTGCATATCCTGTCAACAAACATGATAAGTGAAATGCTATAACTTGTTCCAACTTACGTTTGTCGATATTATGAGACTGATTCTCCATCAGCAAGATTGTGAAGATCTGAATAATTTATAATAGCACGATATAAGAATTCATATTGAGCCTGAAACATATGACATATAATAAATTATTTAGTAATTCTATGAATACCTAACGAATCATAATCTTATTAAAAAGTTAAACTTACAAAAGTACTGATCATGCCATGCCGCTGAGAACGGAGTTTTTTTGTTGTTGTAAAAATATCTACACGTTTCTCAGTTTGTAGTTGTTGCACTAATATGCTCAATGCCACAAACATCGAACTTCTATCCGAACCATAACTGCAATGTACTACTAACGAGCCACTTGACTCCGTTTGATTTACAAGTTCAATTAGACCTCGTGTTACTTCAGGTACTTCACCCTCTACTGTGGGCCATCCATGATACTGATATTGTGTTACAACTACACTTTCATCTGTCTTTGTATTAGATACACAGAACTCTCGTCGAGTGTAATAGGGACAGCTTTCGCTTTGAATGTATCGTACTCTTATATGATCATAAGTAGTTTCATCATCGGGCCAATATCGTGGACATTTTCGTGGTCCTTCATTCAACTATAATAATTTTACTTTTTGTATAAATGCTTTACTTTTTTGTGTTAATTTCATTTTTTCTACTTTCGAATTATTATATTTTATTCTAAAGAAACTACATTATTCATAATACATTTTTTAAATGTATTAAATTGTTAATTGTATTAAGTTGGGGTCACTGTAATTTTATTTATCACCCAACTCTAACTTCATTTAATCGTCAAATTCATTTTATTGCGTACGCAATGATAATTTACGCAATATTTTCAACATATATAAAGTAAATTATTTGCAAAGAAGAAAAGAAATAAAGAATGGCTATATCTATGTAATTCATTAAAATTTATGAATATAGTTACTTACGTCAGATAACATTACTATTGTAGATATACATTGTTCTGAAATCATTCTCCAAAAATCAGCTATAGTAGTTTCCAATGGATCTTGTGTGATAACGAATGATTCAAAATTATCATAACCTTCAATAAATGAAGCATTTATATATGTTGAATGTTCTCTGCCTGGTACAGGTGTAAGTATTACACGATTTCTGTCATATGGTATCACTAATTCGCTTCTATTCTTTGCTCTATTTTCTTCACCTCCTCCAACAGAGAAAGATTTTCTATCTTCTAATAAAGAACTAATTTTCTGTAAAAATTAAAAATAAAAAACTTATCAATGATACAATAAGAACAATATTTCTTCTCTTTAGAAATAAATATTCTTTTACTTACATCATATTCCTCTTCCATTCGACATTTTTCTTTACCATTATCTCTCTGTCTTAAACGTGTAACAGTCGCTTTTAATTGGGATGCTGGAATTTCCGTATCACCATATTGTGCCATTTCCATTAATGCACGATAAATAAAGATATACTGTTTTAAAGATTGCACCAAAAAGTTTCGTTGATGTCTTAAATCACATACTGTATTAAAAATAGATACTTGACCCTCTTCTGTTAATTGCTGTAATAAAGAATCTAAGGCGACTAACGTTCCCGTTCTACCAACACCTGCACTACAATGTACCAATATTGGTCCTTTTTCTAAGGAATATGCTTCATTTACTCTTTTGATAAATCTTAATATTGCATGAGGGTGTTCTGGCGCCATAAAATCTTTCCACACAAGGAAATGATATTGTACTATAGTACGAGCGTCTCGTTCTCCAAGACGTGTCATTTTTAATTCACGTACAACGTAATCAGAATACGCTCTTTCACGAATATGTTCAACAGTTATATCTCCAAAGTTTTTTGTTTCACTCTTGTCGGGCCAATATTTTGCACACTTTGTTTTAGAATATTCCTCCAAATTAGTTAACATAAGAATTAATTCTAAATGTTGTTCCCAAATCATTCTCCAATAATCGCATACTGTATTTTCCATAGGACCTTGTGCACATATGAACTTTTTGCGTTCTTTATAACCAAGAACAAAGTTTGCATTAATATAATCTGATCCATAAATACCATCTATTTGTGCAAGTCGTACTCTAGTTTGATCATAACATTTAATATCTGGATAACGATTTTTGTATAAATTTTCTCTAGCCTCAGAAGCACGCGTAGTACGATCTGTAAATCTATCAGGCAATAATTCAAATTCATGTTGAAAGCCATAATCAGAATCTCTATGACGCTGAAGATATGCTTGCAATAATTCATTCTTTGGAATTGGTGGCATATCAGGTGGACTTGCAGCTACAAGCTGATGCCTCCCACGAAGACTTCGACAAAGATACCTATAATGAAAATTCAAAATAAATCGTATATAATTAGAAAATTAAGTTAATAATTTGATTAGTAATACATTTAGTTAGTAGAAATAGAATATTTAATTAATGATTAAAATTATTCTAAAAATGATTATGTATTCACCTGAAACTATTCCTTAAAGTTATAATTTCTTCTCCCCTTTGCTGTGCACGTTTAGTATATTTATGTAATATGCAAAGTGCAATAAGTGGGATCATAATGATCACTAATAGAACAATAGAAATTTGTAATATTGTTTCAAGCATAGTTACTTCATCAGCTGTTATACTTCGTAGATCTTTTCCTCCATAAAGAGGATTAAAATAACCACTATAAGCAGGTAGAAATCGATCCTCATTACTACTGAAAACTATAAAAAAAAAAAAAAGTAATATAAATAAGATGCCATTGACATTAATTGTAAGCAAGAAAATGTATACCAACCAATAACTTCTATAAAACCAGTATAATTTGATCTATCATCCAAAAAACCATCCTGTATTGGAGGTGGTGATGACTCCGAAGATTTTTCATTAAAAATCGTTTTAGAATTTGATGTATCTTCTCTTTTTTTACGTGCTGTTGATTCTGTACTATTCTTGATAATTGTAGTTGGAGTTGTTGATTCTATTTTTTGATCAATGATAGTTGATTTGGTTTTAGGACTTATGGAAGTTGTTGTTGGTACTGTACTGAATATAGTTGTAGTTGTTCCATTAATTGTTGGTATTGGAGGTTCGGTTTCAGGAACAAAGTGTAATACCGACGGTGGTCCTTTAGCTCGAAGACCAATACATCGATTACATTGAACACTACCATTAGAAGATATTCCATCGCCGAGAAAAATTTCAGACATTAATTGATCACTGTCAAATGCCTCTGCAGCATATGCAGCACCTGTTGGAGAACTATGGGCATAACTATAGGAATATACGTTTATTTCCTCAGGTGGTGGTAAATCAGAAACAGACGTTTGTGGTGCTAATTTCACTAAGAATACTCGATAACAACATATCGGGCCATTTCTCTCAGAAATACGTGGTAAATATAATTTAAATAATTGTCTACCCTCATTTTCAATTTTTCTCCATGTTCTCATATTTAAACTGTCTCTATCAGGGATGGTAGCTGGAGTAGTGCAATTACCAATTGCATCTTTTCCTGAAGAACGAGACCTAGTCACACCATGTATATGTACCTTTTAACAAAATAGTTAATTTTAATATTATTATTCATGAAATCTTGTACTAAAAAATTAACGACAGGTAATAATTATAATTTGTGATTTACAATCTTATCATATATAAAATTATGAATTTATTAGAATACAAATTTCTTTTGTAAAGAAAAAGAATTAAAAAAGTACCGTATAGTTTGTGTTTGCTGGTATTTGGCCATATCTAACACTATTCTTGTTTGAAATACTCTTAACTGGTAAAGACCACTTGTCTATATCTAACCGGCCCATATCATTTTTAAATTTTGATATGCCACTTAATTGTAGATTATATCGAGTTATAATACCATTTGATTTCTCTGGTGTTTCCCAAGAAATAGAAATAAAATTGGAACTGCTTATGTTATCATATTGACACGTAACTACCAAATTTTTTGGTGGACTAGACACTGTAATGAAGAATATTTCAATTCATTAAAATTCACGAATCTATAATAAATACAATATTTAATTTTATTTAATAATACCTCCATCTAATGTTGTGCCATTCACCTCAGTACTCCAATTACCACACTGCTTTGTATATTCACTGCAAGCTGCGATTTTAAATTTGTAAGTAGTAGCTGGATCAAGATCTACAAATGCATATACAGTAAACTGCTGTGCTGGATAAACTGCCTGTCGTTTTTGATCTTTGTGAGTTGCCATTAAATTGTAAAAATGTACATGCTCTTTCAGATGTGGTGGTGGTACAGTCCATGCTATAGTAATAGAATTTTCAGTGACACCATTAACAGAAACTTTTGGTATGAACACTGGATCTATAAAATAAATGTTGTATGATCCATAATTATTATTATATGTTTGAATTTTATAATAACCAGCCAGATCATAACTATACTTTATTGAAATACCTTTTTCAAGCGTAGTTACCCAATGTGGGTAAAATTGTATATGAGATGAACCAGCAGCATTATCAGCACTAATTCCAATTTTATATGCTGTGCCATTTTCAAAATGTTTCAAAACGTAACTTGAAATACCTCCACCAATTTGTTCTTTATAATACAGAAATTGATCTGTTCCATTTTTCATAAGTCTAATTAAATAATTTGTAATTGGTTCATTACCATCATCTACTGTCCAATTTAAAAAGATACTTCCAGCACCAACAGCTTTTATAAAATCAATGTTAATTTTTGGCACATCGATTACAAAAAGATGTCTGTAGGCACTTATTATGCCATTATTATCTTGTGCTTTACAGATATATGTACCATTATCTTTACGGGAGGGACTTTTAAATTCTAATGTCATTATTACATAGGTTTCATTTACATGCGTGACAGTCGAATGATTTTTCAAACTTTCACTGGTTTTAGTATCATTACCCTTTAACCAACTGAAATTTGAGAGTGGATAGCCAAATACATGACAAGTTAAGTTAGCTGATTCTGATACATTTGTCCTGACATCTTTATCCGATGTTATTTTACCAGGTTCTAAAATTTATAAAATCATTGTAATCATATATATTTTAGACTAACATAATTGATTATTTATCGATTTGAAAATGATAATCACCTATAACCCTAATATGAATCTCTTTCTCAAGAAGTTCTCCTTCAATAGTTCGAGCCATACATTTGTAATCACCCGTATCGTTCCTACTTGCTTTTTTTATATCAAATCGTCCAGCATGTTCAAAATCTTTAATTGTGGTAAGATTGTTCCCTTTGGTAGTCCACCAAACTTGGCCAGGCACATTGAGTTTACATGTTAAAGAAGGTGTACTGCCTGCTTCAATTCCATCTATATCTTGAGATGTTGTTATCTCTAATGTAGCAATTTTTTCATTCTTTTGCCAAATATTTTCTGTCTTGTCTGTTTCTACGAATAAAATATTTTATTCGAAATAAATTCCTATCTTTTGTTCAAATTAAGTCTTTCAAACGTGATAATTATATATAAATAAATCTGTTAAATCTTAATTATAATGATAATAAAAATATTCCAAGTATGAATAATATTGACAATATTGAAAAAAACATGTCAAATTTGTAGACGCAATACTGATGCATAGATATGGTAATATACATATGCTTTTCTATTTATAATTTTTCCTTCAATATATATAACTTATAAAGAACCTCTAATAATTCTATTGTTCTTATGCAAAATAATAAGAAAAAATAAAATATATATATATATATATATATATATATAAATAATAAATATTTATTATTTATATCCTATCTATAAATTATCGAGAAAGGATAAAAATAAAATAAAATAAAATAAAATAAAATAAAATAAAATAAAATAAAAAAAATAAAAAAAATAAAAATAAGAAATAGTTTAATAATCTCATATAAAAATTATATAAAGACCATACATTTTGTATATAATTGCATAATTGTCATCGTTTATCGTCATTAATTAAATCCATTTATAAGAATATCTAATCCCGCTCATGTTAATATATAATTGATCGTAAGATCAATGATTATTTTTTCTAATTGGGAACCAAGAATAAAGACATTCTTTTTTATGTAATTGTACAATATCAAGAGAAAAAAAAACATGTTTAAATAATAACATATTATTTCAATTATCGGTTAATTTGTGTAATAATACACAGTGAAACATCGGTGATAATAGAAAACAGTGGGATATCATTTGGCGCCCATGATAATATGTGTTACGCCTTCTTACTATTTTCGAGACAATATATAATATATACATACCCCCGTCATCGAGGCCAGCAGAAACTAATACAAGACAGCAGAGAATTAATAAAGAAGTTTTCGACATCGGTAAACCGTTTTGAAGAAACATGGCGTCGTGACAGCCGGGTGTAAGCGTTATATCTTCTGGCCCTTTTACCACTTCCTACCGTCTTCATGCGCAATCCAAATCCCTCTCAGAAACCCATATCGCCTTTCTATGATATCACCTCTTCGCACGTATTATAATTTACTTCACTCTACCATTCTACACCGCGCACTTCCGTGCGTTAACGCACATTTCAGATATTCCTATCCACTTTGGAAATCTGACTTTGTAACAGTGCTTAGTGAAACTGAATCATATTATTATAGAACATAACGCAGGACTTTCCTACGATCCACTACATGCAACTATATAAACTGTATCTTCCAACGCGCATTACTATGCGTACAGAGCACTCTATAGGAATCTACGTTTAAAGCCATATTATTATATCGGTCGGTAAAGAAGATAAACGTATGTATCATTTTATACATTACCTTCTTTTCCGTGAATTTTTAACATAATTCGTAAGTGCTTCGTGATATTGTAGAAAACGCATACGTAAGGTATTGCATATTGATTTCACAAATAAATAATATACACAAGACAATATTTTGAAACCATGAGATAAAAACTTTTTTATATTATTATAATTAAATCATCTCATAAAAATTGATAACTAAAGAATTATCTTTTTATGTTTGTATTATAGAGAATATATATTATTTTTCTAATAATACTGTTCGAAAAGATTTCGGTTGACAATGGCCGAACTTCTTTTGGATTCAAATATTCGTGGATGGGTATTTCTACCCATAGTTGTCATTACATTTCTAGTAGGAATTATTCGACATTACGTTTCTATATTATTGGCTTCGCAGAAAAAAGTGGAAGTCCATCAAGTACAAGACAGGTGAGTATTAAATTAGTACATTAGTAATTCTCTGAAATATTACTAATATTCTTTTTTTATTGTATCTAGTCAAGTGATGATACGATCTAGACTTCTTAGAGAAAATGGTCAGTATATTCCGAAATTTGCATTTATAATGAGACGACATTTCTTTAATAACGAAGAAACAGGATACTTTAAGACACAAAAGCGTGCACCTGTATCGCAAAATCCAATGACTGATCCTAACATGATGACAGATATGTTAAAAGGAAATGTAACAAATGTTTTGCCAATGGTCCTTATAGGTGGTTGGATAAATTGGATGTTCTCTGGATTTGTTACAAGTATATATATAATATAACTAAATAAAAATATTGTATTTTTTTCCTAACACTATTATTCTTTTTCAGCTAAAGTCCCATTTCCTTTAACATTAAGATTTAAACCAATGTTACAACGAGGCATAGAATTAGTCACTTTAGATGCTGCATGGGTTTCTTCTGCATCTTGGTACTTCTTAAATGTATTTGGATTACGTTCTATCTATACTCTTGTACTTGGTGAAAATAATGCTGCTGATACATCTAGACTTTTACAAGATCAAGTGTCGGGTGCAGCAATGTCGATGCCACCAGATCCAAAAGCAGCTTTTAAATCTGAATGGGAAGCTTTAGAAATATGTGAACATAATTGGGCATTACAAGGAGTAGATACAGATCTTACAGGACCTCATAGTAGGCTGGATACAAGTGATAGTATATATCATCAAAATAAAACTTAATATTCTACTAGGCTAAAAATAAATGTTTTCATAAAAAATATAGTATATTCTGATGAAATACTGTGGAAAGTTCGACATGTTTCTAAAAACATTAAATTAACGATTTATATCACATAATTAATATAATATGAATAATTTATAGTAATTTAAAAGCATTGTAGTAAATTCTATTATATCCAGTACAAATATCTACCTATCATCTAAATAAATCATTTTAAATACCAAAGCAATTTATAATAAAAATCACGATTTTTGACATCTTATTAATGAATATAAATCTGTCCGACGATGTTGCTCACATGGCATATTTTTCCGAATTTTGGCTAATAAATCTAAATCTATTTCTGCTACAGCTACACCAATTTTCTCAGCACATTGTGCCAGAATTGTTCCCCATGGATCAATGATCTATTTAAGTACATAAATAGAAAATATTTATAATCAATTGATTATGAAAATTAATACAGATTAAAACAATTTATACATATAAAATTTTACCATAGAATGTCCCCAACTCATACGTTTCTTATTATGAGCGCCTGTTTGTGCTGCAGCAATTACATAACATTGTGTTTCTATAGCTCTTGCACGTAATATTATTTCCCAATGTGCAGCACCAGTTTGATACGTGAATGCTGAAGGATAAGTTAGAATTTGTGCTCCCATATTCTTTAGAAGTAGAGATTGTTCAGCAAAACGCATGTCATAACACTAATCATTTTGTTAAGTAATATTATATGCATTTATTAGAAGAAAAATCAAAAAGGATACAATGCTTAAAGCCAAATTGCCAATTGGTGTACAAATAGGTGGTACTATATCATCTCCTTTCACTACATAATCTGATTCCATTAAACGTACACCTGTTTCTTTATTATCCATATCAAATAAATGTATTTTACGATATTTGGATACTAAATTGCCTTCATTGTCAATTAAAATATGTGTATTAGAAACTTTTTCTTTATCATCAGGTAACTAAAAGTGATTTTATATTAAGTTGAATAAGTTACATAACAATGCTAAATAATAAAATTTTTGATTAAAAAATTAATTATATTACTGCTTCATGAATACCACCCAATGATAACCAAATATTATTTTGGACGGCAAGTTTCTTATAACAATTAACAGTTGGGCCATTTAAAGGTTCTGCAAATTCAATTATTTCTTTTTTATTTTCAGCCATATAATCGCATGCCTCTGGAAAGAATGCTATCTATAATATAAAGAAGAAAGAAATTTTTAAATATTATTTGTCAATTCCCAATCTTGAATTTTAAGTAAATAAATTAATTATTTATTCTCTTACACAAGCATTTCTTTGCTTAGCTTCATGAATTAATTGGGAAACTACTTCTAAATTTTTTTGCTTATCATTTATAGATCTCATTTGACAAATAGCAACACATTTGTGTGTCATTGTAGAAATAAGTCTTCTTATTTCTTTCCTAATAAAAATATTTAATGAAATTAGACTTTAGAATGAAATTTATGCGTAATATAAATATATAATTTTTATTTTACAAATTTATCTAAATTATTAAATATATGAATAATCTGATATGAAAAATATCTGATATGATCTGATTATGATAATGTATTATAAAAATGTTAGAATACATTTAAGAATATTATATTTAAAATGGTCAATCTATTCCATTTATTTTAAAAATTACATACGTAAACATAAGATGTGGCATAGACATGACAATCATAACTAATTCGTATATTGTCGTATACGACTTTATATGTACTCAAATGTAAAGTCTGAAGTTCGAAACTGAATCATAATTAACTAAATACTATTAACGCTATCTAACTTATCTATAGGTTATTAATAATGTTTTTAATTTAATTATATTTAAAGTATTACTAATACAGATAATTAATTCAATGAATTATACTCATTTTCAAAAAAATTATAAAAGAAAATTAAAGGTTTTAAAAATTAAATGATTTGGACAAAAATATTTTACAATGAACAAACTTAGTGAGAACTAGGCTTTAGGTATTTTTCTTCTTTATAGTGTATCGTCTTGTATATCTATACTTTGTGATTGTTGAGAACATCGTTCACTTCGTTCATGCAGTGTCGGAAAGATGGTAAGGATCATTTAATGTTTTAGAAATCCATTAAATATTTTTACATCGTTAATATGATTTACTATTGTGATTTAAAAAATGATTTTGTAATTTCTAACGAAATATTTTATATGTTTCAGTCTGCTCATAAAACGTTTATAATCAAGCGAAAGCTTGCCAAAAAGTTGAAGCAAAACAGACCTATTCCTCAATGGGTTAGAATGCGTACTGGTAATACTATCCGGTAAGTTGATTGTTATTGACATTATTTAAGTAATTTTCATTAATTTCAGATACTAATTTTTTAGATATAATTTTTTATGGTAACAAACTACAAAACAATTTCATTAACATATATTTGGTTAATGAACGTATATTTGTAGTAATTGTTTCAATATTATTACACATTTAGTATTTTTATTACTATTTTTGTAGTAGATAATTTGTGATGTATATATATAAGAATATAAAATGATTGACTTTATCATAAGATATTTAAAGACTATCATTATTTTTAAATATTCCAGGTACAATGCAAAGCGTCGTCACTGGAGGAGGACTAAATTGAAGTTGTAATTTAGTCTTAAGGTTACATTGATACCAATTCTGTTATCTCCAATGATTTTCAAATACATTAAATAAAACCTTTAAATTAATCTTGATGTTTTTTCTTAACATGCTATTTTAATAATTTTCATAATATTGGGTAATTACTCTATATGTATGAAAACATAGTTGTTTAATAAATATTATTAATAAATTTTGATCTCTTTAATTCTATATTTATACAACAGATGTGAGATATATATATTGATTTTTGAAAAATTGAGAAATAATTACAAGGAATTTGGTATTTTACGCATTCGCATTTGTTTTAGCCAATTTTCTATGTGTTGTTCACCAGTTTTAGGAACTGGCAAATAATAATTTTCAGGTGGCTTTCCTTCTTCCAAGCGTACAAAGTAATTAGAATACATGTAACGTACTTCTCCCATCCGTCCTCGAGCATGACGTCTTATTCCTTTATATACAAGACCCTTACCACAGAAAGATTCAGCTATGGAATAATAATAATACAATCTTAGATGGATTTTTGCATAAATGATAAGGTATTTATAAAATTGTAGATCTACTTACCAACCCACAAATTACTTTTAAATTCAACATTATGTTTAAGTACAGCTAAATTCTGCGCTTCTAAAATAGTTTCTTTTACAATAACTGCGCCTTTTTTATGCATAAAACTTAACTGTTTAATTGCTTCATCCACAGTCATTCCTCTGACGAAACATGCAATATACCACAGTTTCTTTGGACTGTATTTTACATTTTCCTTCATATGACATACATACTGAAAAAAGATAGATCAATAAAAATATACAGATTATAAATAATAATATGATTTCATAATTATGTTATATTATATTTTATTTATAAGAACTTATATACCGCTGGTCTTCTCTCCTCATCTGGTGATTGTATAGGAAAAAATTTGTTATTATATTCTAACCACTTAAATTGTTTCTGATCGTTCTCATGTTCCTCTACATCATCATCTTGGTAATCCAAATTTTTATCATATGAAAAAAGTTTACCAGATGATACTATAGATCTACTCAATGTTCCAACAAGTTCATTCAGAAAAGATTTATTATTTAATGAGAGTCGTTGCAAAGAACATCGAATAGTGTTCATGTTCTGTGTGAAATTACAATTATTATTATAATTTGATAGTCATTATAATAAGTGTATGTATATATATATATATAAACTTTTCAGTATGTATCAGATGAGAATTAAATTTTTTTTATAATGTTATGTACTTACGTATAATGTGATATATTTAGACAGAGTTAAATGTTATTAAAAAATGAAAACGATTCTAATAACTTATTATTAGAATTAAAAGATAATAATATCTTTATTTATTTATACTTTACTCTGCTATTATTAATGTAATAATTTTATATTAAACTATAACAATATCGATTTAAAATTTATTTTGTATATTATTATACACAACTTTTTAGTAAACCATACAAGTATTCCGAAGAGGACTGAAGATGCAGCGCCATTTGGACTTTTATGTCGGAGAATAAATGAACTACAAATCAATATGGCCGTAGCAAACACGGTATATGAATAGTGTAGAAAGAATGATAAATGAAGTATAAATAATGCATATATATATGTTCTTAGAATATTTTAATTAACATTTTTTCTACTCCATACTGTGTACAAAAATTTTTAAATGCTTATCGATAACACGAAAGTATAGGTTAAGAACGATGAAATAAAATGTAAAGTTTCACTGTTTGCTACACTGCTAATCGATTAATTGTTGATTGAAGTTAACCAAGCTTAGTTGAAGTGGCCTTAAAAATGTGCTTTGGTTATTGATGTTATTATTATTTAGGTAATAAAATTTATGATAGATACTTCTTTTTTTTTTATTATAATTTTTAATGATTATATAGAGTATGCTTAACGATAATCGATAAGTTTTTATACAAATCGTAATTCTTATTGATCACGTTCGTATTTGTTAGTATTAATATACATATGTTAATATATTATAAAAAAACATTTATTTGTGTGATAATAAAGTATATATATATATATACACGCACACATACACGTATATACATAAAAAATAAAACGTTTTCCTTGGTTATATAAATACGAATATACATATGTATATCGATGTAGCGAAAAGAGTATAATATAGTTGGTTGGACAAGAAAAACAAGAGAGGGACAAAACTTTGACTGTGCTGGTTTGTTGAGAGAACACGGATGATCGTCTTAAGTGAGTTACACAAGAATCTTTTTACTTTTTCCTTACCATTTTATTTATCATTACAATTTACAAATACGAATATGTACATTTGTATAGGATATATCTAAGTACGTATGTGCGTACATACATACATACATACTTTTCTACAAGTCCCTGGACAATGTATTTTTGAAGCTTGAAAATCAAACAAATACAATGTATCATTTAAAGCACGTTTCGCTTATATTTAAAACTTTATTTACAATTCAAACTCTGCTGCATAGGTATAACACAAAAACATTTTGAATAAATATATTCACGAGTAAACGAGTTTATCTCAAGTCGATCTATATTTTTCTTTTGCTTTTTCTTTTTTTTTCTTTTTTTTTGTTCTTATTTAATTTTCTTACAATACAAATTTTAACGAATGTTTCCTTTAGCGTATATATGTGTGGGATAGGGTAAAGAAACATATTTTTTTTTTTCCGAGCGTGTTCTATTGGGAATGTCAAGACAATGATTACGCGATGACAGCATTCAGATACTTTCGCTCAATCTCACCTTCTTCATCTTTTTCGTTTTCTTCCTTTTTCCTTTTTCTTTTTCTTTATCGTCACCGTCGTTGTCCATTTCGGTTTCGTACGAGGAGCGAAAACACATCTGCCACTTTTTAAAGGCGACGTCATATATCATAAACGCGAGTGAAATGTTATGGGTGAGAGAGGGCTAACGGCTGGACCATCTATCTTATACGGCTTAACTCGGAACATTCAACCTGTATATGTGTGTTTATATATATATGTTTGTATATATATACAATATATATATATACACATATATGTGCGTGTATGTATGTCTCTCTCTCTCTCTCTCTCTCTCTCGCTCTCTTTCTCATAATATAATATATAACATATGTTGCATGTTTCTGTGTGAAGAAGAGATGCCATAACACGTTGTCTGGTGGTGTCCTCGGACGATGAGAACAGTTTTTCTTGATTACATAGATGAAAACGTATTTATATATCTTATAAAAAGTATATATATATATATATATATATATATATATATATATGTGCATGCGCGCGCGCGCGCGTGTGTGTGTGTGTGTGTGTATGCTATGTAAAATCATACGTGAATTTACGAAACTATTTAATATCAAGTTAAAGAAATTTTCCTGTCGTTCATATATATATATGTATATATATATATGTATATATATATAAAGTTAAACGTGTCAGAAGAACGAATGGTAAAAGGAGAGAGGAACAACTTCAGTATTGGTAAATTGAGAGGTTCTCCTCGGGATCAAACCGGAATCCTAGGAATTTACATTTTATGATATTTGTCGAGTCCTTTCCAACTGAGAAAAGAGAACGAAGGATGGAGAACAGGGGAAGGTGGCTCCTAAGCCAAGCCATCTCTCTGGTTCCCACACAAATATTCTTACTGGAACGTATCTCTTTTCTCTCATTCCTCTTTTTTTCTATTTCTCTCTCTCTCTCTCTCTCTCTCTCTCTTTCTCTCTCTTTCTTTCTTTTTCTCTTAACAAGACTACTTTATATTATTCCAAAGATATAGTGGGTTCTGAGAAAAAGGAAAAAAAAAAAAAAAAAAAAAAAAAAAAAAAAAAAAAAATAAAAAATAAAAAATATAAAAAGAGGAAAGAAAAAAAAGAAGAGAGAGAGAGAGAAAAAAAGAAAGAGATTGTGAGATGCTCATTACCAGCATTTTCAAGCTTCCCAGGTAAATGGGAGAGTGCACATTTTTGAAATCGGTCTTAAGGTGTCTTATTTTATCTTTCCAAAAAGCATATAAGAGAGAGAGAGAGAGATAGAGATAGAGAGAGAGATAGGGAGAGAGAGAGAGAGAGAGAAAGAGGGGTTGGGATGGATAAAGTCGGATATCCTTTATTTATGGCTTTTCTTCGCTCGCGAGAAACCGTTTCGCATCTTAATCCCTTTCTCCGTTGTATATCGCTGTTGCCTTTCGTGGCCAGTAAATTTTCCAAGGCGTCATCGAAACTGTTATATTCTGAATGAGTTTCACAATTCGGTTTTTCAGTCATCCTTCAGGATCTCTTTTATCTTTCTTTCTCGTTGTTTCTTATTTTGACGTCGTGTTTTAAAAAGAATTCGAGTCGGATGAAAATTTTATTTATATATACGTAATAGGATATAATTAAATATTTATATAACAAGTATATATATATATATGTACTTGTTATATAAATAGCAAAAAGTGAGATAACCTACACTTAAAACAAAAAATATATATATATATGTATATAAAGTATATTATATTAAATATATAATTATATTAAATATGTGTAATTATACTGAATATATTTGTATATAGGAATTAATATACAGGATGTCTTGTTTATCTCTCGAAAAATTTGAAATATCTCGCGAAGGATGGAATCTACAAAAAAGAATCTTTGTATAGATTCGTTTGATATAACGTAGTACGTTATGTGGTGCAAATTTTTTGTTTTTTTTTTTGCTTTTTTTTTGCAAGTAGAGTGATGGAC